GGAGTCCCGCTGCCGCCCTGCGCGGCCGGGTGCCCTCGGGGGTGTGGGTGCCTTCTGACAGTCTTGCCGGCCCCCGGCGAAGGAGAGTTGAGAAGAACCTACACGCTGCAGGAGCTCGAGTTTCCTTGCCTTGTGCAATTCTTTCCACTTCCCTTATCAAGTGATTTATTAGCGCTGTATCTTTATTTGTTTAGTCATTTGACTCTTCTAAAGCCTGTGCTGAATGGAACCCTCAGATGGCAACCGGGAGCAACAGGATCTTTCTCCCTTCTAGAGTTTAAAGAGTTAAATGTCGCCTCTCCAACCTGCCTGCCCCTCAGCAGAGTCCGCATTACACTGCTCGCTGCTTATTACTGTTTGCCTGTTATTTTGCAAGTGGTGCAATACGGGTGTGTAGTGTATTTTAAAGTTTCGTATCATATTGGCCTATTTTGGAAGTCATCAATGAAAGAATCTGGATGGGAAGCAGACATCCTGCTTCAGTGTATAGCATTTGAGAATATAGTAAGTATTCAGGGAATTAAAGTATTTTCAGTCTAAAAGGATGGCAGTGTTAAATGCAAACAAACTGGTATTTCCTGATTCCTAAATTTCACAAGACAATTCTTTTTGTTGTTGTTGTTTCTTTCCTTTTTTTCCCCCCTTCCCTGTTTTATTTTGATGGGTGCTTTCAGGTACAGAAAAAATAAAGGACTGTAAAGAATGTTATCTGAAACAAGCAGGCACAGCACAGTCGGACCTTCATTTTGTGTAGCTGTACATCTTCTTTGCATAAAGTACTTCATCCCTCCTGTCTTGCAGTGTTCACCAGGTCCTGAAACACTTTAGGCATTAGTGAATTAATTAATCGTGTAGTACCACATGCTTGTATATGTTTGTCAAGTTGGACTGGCGTATACCTCTTGGTGCTGGGAAACTTTGAGTATGCTTTTGCTGTTCTTCAGAAGCGGGTCTTAAACCCAAATTTAGGATTCTGTACAACTTTGAAGGCTTTTTTAAAAAACCCTCATTAGTTGTCCAGGTTATGGTTGATTACACTGAGAATCAGTCAAAATCACTGCTCAGAATTAGTTTCCTACCAAATCTTACTTTGCTACAATAGTTTCTAGCCCTTTTCTAATGCTGTTTGGGAAGCTTTGATACTACTTAGACAGCGAACAAAAAACTGGCAGATTCATGTAGGAGTAAACTTTCAAAATTATATGTTAAGAAAAAAGAAAAGTGACCAGAAATGTTTTAAAAAAAACCCTTGAACAAAACCAACAACCCTTTCTACCCCCACTCTTTATAGAATAAACACACAGAAATACAGGAGAAAAAAAAAAATTCTTACAGCGGCAGTAAATGAGCACGATAGGAGATGTTTGCATGCATTTTACTCTTATGATTTGAAGTGGTGTGTTTTTGTAAATGGTCGTAGTTAAAGGATTTAGGAAAGACTAGACTTGCGAGAACAAACACGATTAGACCTCTGCTGACAACTGTAGTGGGATTGGAAAATGCTTCTCTTCTTTAGTACAGAGGCCACAAGGCAGCAACTAATAAAAATAAGTAAGACTATTTCTAGAAAGATTTCTGGTTTCATTTTCAAAATTGTCAGGTCAACCACTTATAACAATCTGCGGGGAACTGTCGAGCAATAAAAAGCAGCGTGAGGCAGTGCTTATCAAACCCTGGTGTCTGAGCAGCATTTGCAGTTCTGCTTTTCCCCCACCCCAGAGTCAGCTTTTTCATCCTAGTAGGCAAAATTGGATCTGCTTGCTTAGATTCACGCTAGCATCAGGTTAATGCTGGCATAAAAATGGATGGCTAGGGCAAATAGTTTGAGTTTGGTAATGATGTCCTCACAGCCTCAAGGTGAAAATGAGCTTGATTTCAAGAAAAAACTTGAGCTTAGTGAAAATAAGAGTGCATGATGCATGATTCAGGAGCATTTCTGCAAACACATGTAGGGTCTAAGGCAGTGCTGTAACCTAGTCGTAAGACGAGCTTTGAGTTTTAGGGCAGTTTGGTTGTAAACCCTTCTTGGCCATCCTGTACATTGCTCAGCTGTGTAAAATGTGTTCTACTGGGACATGCCAGAGCCGCTGTGATCACCTGCCTGATGCAGTGTCTCCTAATAGAGGGTGTGTCTCCCCCTCCCTTTCTTTGTGTATGTTGTTCCCTTCGTGGTTATATAATAGCAGTATGTGCAGTCGGAGCAGAGTGGCTTCCAGGCATTATTGCAACACAAATAATGCGGGAGGAGGAAACAGTTACAGGGGAAAAGAAAGTGTATCAGGTGGGAAGAGCTTAACTTTTTACCTAAATGTGTTTCTGAAGAGAGCTGGTCTTTACGGTTATGGTGGCACCCAGGCAAAAAGGAGATGTTTGAAAGGTTAACTTTTTTCTTCTGGAGAGCAGCAGTATTCATGTAACAAACTACGTTCTTGCTGAAATACTTCTGTACTTCTAGAAGCAGATCAGCGCGTGTCATTTCATCGTTCTCGGCTGTAGCAAATACGGGGGGATGTGTTTATTGCCGTGTGTGCTGTATTGAACTAGTGTATTTGGCAGAAGGATGTAACGGCATGCGCGTGAAAAAACACAGTTGTGTGGTTTTAAGACAATTCCTGACTTTGGTATTTCAGGGAGGAGATTTTCTGCTTACCTGGGGGAATCATGTGCCCTTTGTGTAAGGGGAATGAACCTGTACAGATGTGATCTTGGTTACAAAGAGGCAGTTTGCAGCTTTGGCAGGAGCTGTGTGTGTGCGCTTGTCATCCAGCCACGATGGGGCTTCCCTGCTCTCTAGAAGGCTTTAATTTGCTTTAGTGGGCATGAGGGTAGAGAGATGTGTATAAAGGGAGGGAGGTAGTTTCTCTGTTACAGTTCTGAACGCTGTCTTCAAGAAATGGTATATATTTTGTAGTTCGTGTAATACAAGAAGTAAGTAGTAGTAAAATTTAAATCTAGGAAGAGTAGTATAAAGTAATTACTATCCTTTCCTCCTATTTTTTTTCCTCTCTTCAGTACATATAAATACATACTTATCCAGGTAAAACAAGCCTCTACCCCTTCATCTCTAAAGCAGCACAAGATGCCACTGTAGTTCTGAAGGTTGGATTTTCACTGTAGAAGATGTTACAGCAAGTTTATCTCAGAGTCCAACCTAAATGTTTTATATTATTTTAATCTCAAATTTCATACACCTTTTTTGCTATATCAAAGTATATTAAGACTTCTTAGTGTTGAAAAGTCAGGGCTGTTTTTCTTTTTTCTGTGTAGAACCATGATATCAGATACTTTGTTGGTAATGGAAATGTAACTATGTGCCTTTGTGTAGTGTGCATGTGTGTATATGTACATTTAAGAATAGAAATGGAATGTAAACTTGCAGCTTTCCAAAGTAAGAATCAGCTTGTGATTAGTTTCCCATACAGCTAATTTATGAACAACCCTGGGAATGGGGACAGGTGGCAAACGGCATTTAAGTGGGGCACACCTTGGAGTTTTAGCTAAGCAACCTCAATGGCTGGATGAAGGTGGGGAAGCTGCCTTCAACTCTGTGTTCCCACTATTTCTTTTCTGCTCCAACAACCAAGTAGAGGAAGATCAAGCACTCTGAAGGTTCATCTTTCTGTTGGTTTAACTCTGTAATTTGGCTCACTGCATGTTGGATGAACTCGTGTCAGGCTAAAGGCGGGGAGGCAGAACTGTAGGGGGATGGAGGAGAGGCTGCAGCCTGCAGAACTACTTTGCTGTTGGGCTAGTCTGCCTGCAGCGTAAGACGTCACCCGCATTGGGAAAGAGCTATTGTGTTTTAAGTTTGTGGCCAGGTTAATTTGCATAATTTGATATGCCCTGGCCTGGCTATGGGTTTGCAAAGCTCAAATTTCAGAGGTGGGTATACTTCAATAGAAAGGGAGAAGAGGAAAATTATGCGAGGGGAGGAGGTTAGGGTGTCCTGCTTGCATTGAAGTCTATTTGTTGAGAAAACATTGCTGAATTTGTAAAGGCTGAGACAAGGAGGAGGGGATATAAATGAATAGTAGCTTTGGTTAAAGTTTACTTAAAGTGTGCCCTAAGTGCTGGGTCCAATTGATGGTTCAGTGTAATAACTTAGTTTGGATTAGGTTCTGGTCAGTAGTGCATTGATGTGTAGATCAATTTGAACCAAACTGATTGTGATTAAACATTTGAAAAGTAAAAATGTGTCTAATTTTAGAAGATGGTGAAATTAAGATGTTGGGTGTTTTTTTCTTTGCAGGTTGTCTTGGAGTGGAGTAGAGACCAGTACCATGTTATGTTTGATTCATACAGAGACAATGTTGCTGGCAAATCATTTCAGAATCGGTGAGCTTTTCTTGCAGTTGACAGTATTGCACATTTTGCTGTTCAATTAATTTTCAAATATTTAAATAAAATATTCTAGATAAAGTAACATACTATTGACTAGGACCTTATTGTGTAGGCTCTAAATCTGCAGTAAATTTTAAACTTAGTGGGTTTAAAATTGTGCTTAATATTCCAGCTTGGAGGATGTTTGACATTTGGAAGCTCTAGTCATATAACAGAGTTTACATTTTAAATGCATTTAATTAATCCAGTCTCTAATGAAACATCAAAATGGTGATAATCATAGAAACATAGAATGGTTGGGGTTGGAAGGGACCTTAAAGATCATCTAGTTCCAACCCCCCTGCTATGGGCAGGGACACCTTCCACTAGACCAGGTTGCTCAAAGCCTCATCCAGCCTGGCCTTGAAGACATCCAGGGATGGGGCATCCACAACATCTCTGGGCAACCTGTTCCAGTGCTTCACCACCCTCTCCGGGAAGAACTTCTTCCTGATATCCAATCTAAACCTCCCCACTTCCAATTTAAACCCATTACCCCTTGTCCTGTCACTACAGGCCCTTGTAAAAAGTCCCCCCAGCTTCCTTGTAGCTCCCTTCAGGTACTGGAAGGTGCAATAAGGTCTCCCTGGAGCTTTCTCTTCTCCAGGCTGAACAAGCCCAATGGAGGATTTATATTTCCCTATGTTAATATAGAAAATATGTTAAGTACTGTCCCTGTGTGCTTAAAATTCCAACTTTCAGTGTTTTGAAAAGTTATTTTTCATTTACCTTACATTTTCTATGACATCTCATGAGGGACATTGTTTAGTAGAGAAGTCACAAAGCTAGGAAGAAGTTTTTTAAAGCTGAGTATGTGGGAGAACTCACTCATAGTAAGTTGGAAACCAAGTCATATGGGCCATTTTTTTCAGTTGTGTTAACTGCTATGTGACTTCTTGTGGTTTCATCGTTCATTTCCGAATATTTCTGGGGTCTGTTGCTCAGGAAGTCAGTGGACTGTGAGTTGGTAGGTGGAAGAAGCTAGTAAGAGATATCATCTGACTCTTAAGTGTTGATACACTCCACTGGCTAAAAAAAAAAAAATCAACAACCCTGAAAGCAGATGCTTAATCTGCCTTGAGGTTTGTTGAATCACGGGACAGTAGAAATGAACAGATCAGTTTGTCACGCTTTAGCTGGTGTGAGATAACTCTGTAAAAGTACATTGTATGGTGTCCAAAACAGAATCGCAAATCTTGCTGTGACCATGTAGGTATAGTCAGTTCCCTTTTCTGCACTGTGTTTTCTTACTTCATTTTGGTTGTGTAAAGCATTCCTTAGCTAGCGTTGATTTCTGTGAATTGTGAGCAAAAATCTAGTGCCTGGGGAGGAACCGTATTGGCTGCCTGAGCAAAAGCTTAAGGTTTTCATGATAGGTGCTTAAGTTATTCCAGTTTACCCATTTGCCTTTAATACTCTTATGTCAGGCCTGACAGGGAGGTTTGTTGTGGTGTGCGGATACCAACTTCCTATAAAATTCGTACCAACAGAAAGTCTTTGCAGAGCCATACTTTTGGAAGTCCCTTGTCAAGGGTTGGATTTTGTTATTATCAAACATCACGGAGACAGTAATGGTGCTATTCTTGCAGTATGCACTGTATCAGTGGTGGTTTGAGGGAGTTTTTAAGCCTGGTATCAATGCAACATGTAGGGTGTCATATGGGTCTTACCTAAACTGAGAGTTGTGAACTTCCAGTTTTGATCTTGGCTTATCCATTATTTTGAAATAGTTCTTATTTTAGTGTTAGTGAAAATATCAGAAATGGAGAACAGGAGCTTGTTGGTTTGGAAATTAAGCAGGTCCACTGCTCACTGGGAAGGAAAAGCTGCATGGCCTTTAAGAAATATTAATGGACGTTCAACTGAATTAAAATAGTATTATCTTCTAGGATTTTTCAGGGAAACGTCTGTCTTCTTGTCAAACAGTTGTATTATGAAATTTTATAAAGAAAATTTCCGTGTAGTATGTGAACAAATCTGTGCAAGTGGGCAAGCTCCTTACGATTATAGATGCCAAAAGCTCTTCTTCCTGAGTAAGAAAACCAGTGATGTTGGTAGCATATTAGCTACACCTATTGAATGCTCTTCTCTGCCAGACTAAGGAAGACCTCTCGTTTTGCCTTGAAGTTCAGCAATTGCTTTGGTTTGCTTTTCCGTCCTGTTGCACATCCCAGCTGTTGCACTTTCCAGGTCGTCACAACAGCTGCGAAACTTCCTACTTATGTTGCCAAGGCTCTTGCACAGCTTGAGACAGTGGAGTAGAAATTCCAGGGCTTTTTACTAAGCCACCTCGTCCAAACCCATTTTTGAAGACTTAGTTTTGGTATGAAAATAAAAGGGAGGGAAGGAAACTGAATAATGGAGTTGCATGCATGAGAGTCTTGGACAATAACTCTATTTTATTTCTCTCTACCAGCAAATTCTGTGTTTTTGCAAATGGTGAAGTGTAATTTTGCTTTTCCAGGACGTAGCCAAAGCATATTTAAAACTTTAAAATATCTATGTGATATATATAAATATATATAATATAAATGTGAAGGAACAATCCTCAGTTTTTAAAATGCACAAACTGATTTCAGTATGGTACAGCAAGTGAGGGCCATTGGTGGTTGGTGAGCTGTTAATTAATTGTTAAGCTGAGTGAGGCTGGAGAGAGGAAGAAATACACAAATTAGGGAGCCAAGAGGTGCTGGAGCGGGAATAGCAATGCAATGGTTGAGTTGCTGTTGCTGGGCAATTACAGAGATGTTACAGGAGGACTGGAAGGTTTACAGTGGGGAGCTTAAAGGCATAATAGACTTAACACTTTAATAAAGAGGCTCAGCAAGGTTGGAGATCACCGTATGGTAGCTTGGGAGAGATCCAGAGGCTGCTGTACTACTTCAGCAACTGTGGACTCTGAGATAATGAGGCTTTGTCTTCTAGCTGCAGTCTTGGCTGTCAGAATGGCTCTTGTACCCGTGACATTTGTGTACATACAGAAAATGCTTCTCAGCAGGTACACAGAAGAGGCAGTACGTGACATGTCTCCTGTCCTGTCTCGGGAAGCCAGTGACTCTGGCTTTGACTTCAAGCAGGATCCTATTGATGTTTTTAGATTTGCAAATAAAAAATGGTTATGTTTTTTAAAGAGGAAAATAGAAAGGAGTATCCAAAAGAAGCCTCATCAATTGCCTGAGAGTCTCCAAGGAAGTTTCCCAAGACCATGTTTGGTGATATTAGAATCAGTAGCAAATAGGAAAGTTGATGATTTTCTATAGAAAGGTGTTACATAATTTCCATTTATGCAGCTTGTCTTGGGGTTAATCTGTTTGCCAGACTGGTATTTGTGTTGAAGACCAAAGGCGTAAATTCATGTGAAGGAGAAATGTAGCTACGGAGTTTGAAGGAGAAAGTTTTTGATATTTTCTGACCTTGAACAATTTGCAAAGGACTCTGCATATTAAAAATAGTATTTGAGAAGAATAATGCAGAAGTGGTTCTCCCTTTTCCATTCTAACTTTAAAGTAAAATGCCAGTGCATGCTTTTCAACATATAAACTCTCAGTACTTTTTAGAAGCCATGAAGCCAACCAGAAAGCTTTGGCAAATACCAAAAAGTACCAAAAAGGGGAAATCTTAACAGTTATTGATTTTTAGCTGGGAGCAACAAATTAATTTGTGTACAATACCTGGGGTTTTTAAAATTATTTTTTAAATTATGTATAAAGCCACTGCTTTCTCAAACAATGTATGTTGTAAATTTTCTTAATGCATTTTTATGAGTGTTTGGATAAATGTTAAGCAATTAGACTAGTGAGTCTGCAAACAGTTCACTTGCTTTAGTAGCCTTTTTTACTAGTCTCTATTGCCACTGGTAGTGAAGAATGAGCTTCCTGTGGCAGCTAATTTGGAGTTGACATACCTTCAAATGACCAAAAGTGCCTTTACTCTGTGGAGTTTGTTAGCATTTGGCTGTATGTGACAACATTTCAATGCTAAAAATGAAGTGTAGCAAATTACGTAGTTGTGTGTACTGTTGGATAGAAACGTGCTTTTCGCAAATGATAAATTGAGGAGAGGCTTCACAGAATTCAAAATTGCCTCATACCCTAGAAAGAGATGGAGTTGAGGAGCTTTTTTTGGACATTTATCATCCTCAATGAAGCCTGGGTAAATAACTCTGCACTTTGCCCAGAAGATTGAGTGTCAGACATTTTTTAAATCAGCTGACTTGATTCAGGTGCTTCCACCTAGAACACTTTTGTCCTAGCTGTAGCATTCAAGGGACTGTCAATCCAATAATTTAACTGATCACAACAAATGTAGAAAAGCTGAAAGAGCTCCTTCCATTGAATTTCTACTCCTGTGGATGTCGTTTTTGTTCAAAACATGTCTTGAGTTGCACATGTTAATGAACCAAAAGCTAGTGAGAGAAAGAGGTGAAATAACTGATTAGAAGGATGGTTGCATTCAGTAAATTGACTTCTTGGGAGGTAAATTGACAGTTGGGAGGGTACCCTCCTGCAGAGTGTTGCATGTCAGAGGTGAGAGAGACTTCCTGGGCGATGCTGATGGAAAAGGTAGTGCTGCTTCTTAAGTGTTGAAAACGACCCACTGTTACCCTCTGTCATAGCTCGATTAGGAATGGTGATGAACTGAGTACAAAAAATTCTTGTCTGTTGTGCTGTAACCAGCTACTGTCTGCCCTTTTACCAAATTCTGTGCTTCAGTTATTGAATCTCAGCCAGTAGCAAATAAGCTGGGTGGAAGTTGTCTGCCTGTTATATTGTACAAAGGAAGGTGGAGGGGAGAGTCGCCTGTAAGCTCTGTCTCTTTTTGAATGCTTTTTGAAGGATGCAGTGGCTGGGGAGGGAACACCTTTCCTTGGAATCCTCATTGTGTGATCCCATGGATCTTAACATTAGAGAAGTGCTCAAGGTTTGCCAGGCCATCTACAGTTTAGGAATAGCGTGACACAGAAACTTTGAAAATAAAAATTGAGGCATCTTCCTGCTGCCTGGGACTGAGAGCTTCACCTATGGCAGCAGCCTGGAGTACCTGCTAAAACAAAGCTGTAGGCCTCGGAGAGGAACTTACCATAAACAAATAGAGAAAAGGTACCCAACCCCCTTTCTTTTCTTCTGCCTTAGGTGTGCTAGGAAATCTAACTGTCCAGAAACAGCTCCAGGATGTTAAATTGTGTCAAGATCGAATTTGCCGAGTCTGGACTCTGAATTCATGTATCTTACATAGGTGGTTGGTTTATGAAAAGCCCTGTTACTAATATCTAAGAGGCATTCCTAGGATAGGGACCTGGTCCTGCTGAGATCTTATTGGCTCTGTGCAATTAAATGACAGCAAGTGTGATTTAAGTCTTTGTGCTGTCCTGTCTAATGTAGTTTGGGAATTAAGGATGCACCTGGATGCTGGCACTGATTTGTGAAATATTTATTGGGTTCAAAGGAGTTGGGTTCTAGGTTAATGTCAGTGAAATTTAGAGAATTAAGTTCAGACTTTGCTTAGTTACTGAACTGTTATAGCCACTTTACATCCTCTTTGGTTTTAAGTCTGTGCTATTTTGGAAAAGGCTTTTGTTTGGTTAAGAGATGATACATACAGCTTTTGCTTTGTTTTGTTTGCAGTCCAGACACCAAGTATTTCTGCTGTTAGACAGAAATTGCTATTGTAGGATGCCACAAACACTTGTAATGCAATATTAAACAGCTCATGTAGCTTTCATTTGAATTATGTAGGCTTTGTTTACCCATGCCGATTGATGTGGTGTACACCTGGGTGAATGGCACAGATGTTGAACTGATCAAAGAATTGCAACAGGTCAGAGAACAGATGGAGGAAGAACAGAAAATAATGAGGTAATAATTTTATGTATTTTTTCCCTTTAACTGTTAGCAGCAATCTAATGCAAGACTAGCCCTCTTTGTTGTTCTCCCATGTTACTCAACATGAAAATTCAAAGGGCATTTTCTCACTTCTGTATTTGATTATTCTCAAAACCTTGTTTCAGTTTTACATTTATCTATGAAGTACTGTCTCATTAGAAAACCATTTAAGATACAAAGCATAGTAATTTAAAGTAATTAAGGCTGTTCTGTCTTGAATTTGTAAAATGCTCTGTAGAAAACTGCTTTGTGTATGTCATTTTGTATTGATTTCTATAACTCAGTTTGTAAATAATAATAGTAAAGCTATATCTCAGATGTATAACCTCTCTTCATCCCCTTTTTCCTCCTCCCTTCTCCATTCCCCCCATATTTCTTTTTGTAATGGGCTTAATAAAATCTTAATCGTATGTTTCTTAAAGGCTTCTTTTTGAAGTTAGATGTGTAGTGTCACAAACACTGAAACTGAAAGAGAGGAGAGATAATTTGTTATAAATGTATGAGTCAGCCTTCTGACTAAGGAGGGAAAGACATGTATTGCTGCATTTGGTGTTATAGATTGTGCTATACTGTTTTCCAAAATGACTCATCTAAGGCTTCAAACACAGGCTGCTGCAGATACCTTGGATTGTCTTGTAACAATTGATTTAGTTCTTAATAAGCAACTCTGTGGTCACGGGATCTATTTTGGCCAGAAAATATGCTAAATGGACAAACAAGTCCTGATTTTAAGAGTTGTAATAGTTTAATTCAGAATAATCTGAAATCCACAAGTGAGTGGATTGATCTGGTTTTTAGCATGTTATGACTTGCAGTTTAGGTACCACTGACAATGTGATCACAAGTGCAATTCTAGATCTTTGTTTTGCTACCTAAACAATTAAAGCATTAGTAGAACTTTAAATCCAGCAAGTTTAAATATAGACATGGCCTCTGCTCTGAGAAGCTCTCAAACTTACACTAATCTTTTCCTAGCAGTTCATATAGCAAATGTTAGTGGTTTTAGTGTTGGCATCACTCATGCTGCAATTCCCATTTTACAAAGGGAAAAACGCATTGGTTTTTTCCATAATGCTGATTTGGAAAGTTGGTGTCAAGGCTACAAGTCAGACTCATGTCCATGCCACCTTCATTTTCTACAGGGGCACCTGGTTCTCTCCCTTGTAGATAACTTTTTTCATGTGCTTTGAAAACCAATTAGCACTGTTGCCAATGGAGATATTTCATGGGGTCAAGATAACTACAGAAGACAAAGGCAAGGATGCTATAAATCTCTGCTTACGAGTGTATATTTTGTATTGCATAGCAAAACTTAGTACGCTGTAACTTTGTTGTTGGTATGCCTGAATTGAGCTAGTCATGATCCAGGTGCTTTATTCTTCAGTGGGAGAGAGTAGCTTATGGATAGTGGTTCTCTTTCTATTGGTGTATGTAGAAGGGTGCCCTTCTGATATCATGATGATCATTATTTAGCATCAACACTGCACTACCTTTACAGTAATCCTCATTAGCTTCTACGTGCACATGGCAAAACCATGATAAACCTTATCAGAACATGTATGTTAGGCAAAACAATCAGGTCAGCCTAGTTTCAGGTCAGTTTGTCCTGGTTTCTTACCAGTGTTTTTCATAGCAACATCAGTTAAAGAGTCTGTTGCCACAGCTGTCAGCACAACCAAGAATTTATTTTTGAGATACGCTGCACGAGGGTGAGTAGTGAGGGGCATGTTTGTCAGCCTGCGCTCGCCTTGGCAAGGCCAATGGCAAGGCCTTGGCAGTTTTATAACTGGGTTATTAGTGCTTTCACAACTTGTCCCTGACTCAATTAACAATCTGAAAGTAGACTAAATTCCTTACTGTCAACTTGGTGTTATTTAATGTAGCTGTTTTAACTTTGCAATAGGGAAATCCTTGGAAAGAATGCAACAGAACCAACAAAGAAGAGGTGAGTTTTTGTGGGTTTGGGCACAAATTGGAATAAATGATATCCTGGTCATTGTTAGCTGAAAACAAGTGCTGGTCAGGGAGGTGGTTTGGTTTTCTATACCCTGTGCATGCTTTCCTTCTATGTCACTCAAGAAAAGTTGATGGCATGATAATGTGTATGTTGAATAAAAGTCATGCTATTGTGACATATATGAATGAGCCGCTTAAAATGCGACAATTTCTGAAGTTCAGAAAGCATATCCTTCACTGGTTAGGCATAGTTCCTATTCCAGGTTTGGGCTTTTAGTGCACATGTAGCTGAAGTTCTGTAATTCAAATGCATGAAATTTTTTTCAGTGTTGCTTTCACCTGCCATTTGCATACACAGCACTGCAAGTAATTGTCTGAGGAGGGTCCAAGCCTCTTGTGCCTTTGCTGCCAGGAAGCGGCAGGGCCTGGTCTGTCCCATTCTTCATTTGGCTTGGTCATTCTGGTATTTAGAGATCATCATAAGGTCTCCTCTGTGGGAAAACGTTGAAATTTTGGAACCATTTGGAGGAACAGTTATGGGAATGAACTAAACTCTTAACACTCAGATATTCACTTTCTGCAGAAAAATAAGCATGCTCTTAGTAATTTCCCCCTGCCCCAGCAGATGTTAAAAGTAATTGATTTTACAAAAACATCTCTTATTGCACCTGAAATTGATTTTTGCCTTACATTTTCCACGAGTGTTAAACATACCTTTGGTATTTTGCTGTAGTGAGAAGCAACTCGAGTGTTTGCTGACACACTGCATCAAAGTGCCAATGCTTGTCCTGGATCCTGCGCTGCCTACCAACGTCACACTGAAAGACCTGCTGTCCATTCATCCTGCTTTACAAGCTGCTAACAATATGTTCTTTGTAGCAAAACCAAAAAATCCTTCTACCAACGTGACAGTAATTGTTTTTGATAGCCCTAAGGATGGTAAGATCCTATTTGTTGGATTCCAGCCAGTTTTCTAGAGGAAGCTTTTTAGTAAACTACTGTGAATTAGGGAGTTTTTTCCTCCAATACTGACTCTGCCACTAATTTTCTCTTTGATTTTATTAAGTCATTCAGTGTCTCTTGCCTTCAGTCTGTTTCTCTAAATGACAGCATTAATGATACTGTTTGCTTACCTCCCAGACAACTGATTACAGATGATTAGAGTTCCGTGCTTTAAAAGACTATTGCAAAACATGTTTTGAATCTGAATATCTGTGTTGCACTACTCTCAGAAGACTGAGGTTTAGACTAGGGAAGATAAGTTTTAGAAATCCCCTTTTAATTGCTGTGAAGTCCAGTTTGAATGTTGTGCAATAAGTTCTGCCCTTACTCAAAAGATTTTATACCTTAAAACAGAATGATCCATGAGCTCAGCGTTTATAAGTAGGATCTTAGAGCAAGTAAGGGTTTCTTATTTTATTTAATGTGTAGTGCCTGACCACTACCACCCATCAGCCCAACCACTGGTGTTCATTACCACCAAGAATTATTTACCAGTTACAAAGATAATTCTTTACACCATAAATATACTTTTGCAAATTAAGAAGATTTGGATATCTTAGTTACTAGAATATATGAAAGAAGTGAGTTTCAGTTTTTGATTTGCAACACTTTATTTGTTCTAGTTGAAGCTGCCCATTCTGGAATGTTAAAAGACAACAGCAAACACATAGTCTGGAGAGGTTACTTGGTATGTACTTTTTAAATCTGTTGATTAGATTTTCTATATGTCTAACTTCATGTATGTTTTTAGATGTACATTTTTAGATGTGTTTCTGTGCCATTCTCTAACTTGCATGTAGTAAGAAATGAAAGCTTTAAAAATAACACTTATTTCAATGATGAAGTTTGCATTAAGTGACAAAATATACATTATTAAACCTATCACCTGATGAAGGTCTGGCAGGTAAATGTGAATTATTATGTTTAAAAAAAGTCTTTATACTCTTTTTTTTTTTTCCTTGGTTTTAGACTACAGACAAAGAAGTTCCAGGTCTAGTATTAATGCAAGACTTGGCCTTCCTTAGTGGATTTCCAGCTACATTCAAAGAAACAAATCAGCTACGAACAAAACTACCAGAGAGCCTGGCCTCTAAAGTGAAACTGGTAAGGGTTTGGAGAAAAGAGTAACTTAGTTGTATTGGTTTTTTTGGAACGGTTCACATATGGGATCTCACCCACCCAGGAAACTTAGGATGTTTCTGATAGTAATCTGTTTTCCTGTTGTGCTGGGTGTCACCACGACACCTGTGTGACACTTCTGAGTTGTGAAGAGTAGTAAATAATGACTCAAATAGTTGCCTTCAAAAGACCTATTGTCCATTCTGTGACTGAGTTATTAGGCATTAGATTTCTAGCCTGCAACTGATTAAAAAGTACCAGTGTTATCAGTTTCTCTCAGCCATTTGCTACAGGCTGTTGTCTTGCGGAAGTATGCTACAGCACTGGCTTGTTTAATATGACAGAATTTTGTGTATGTAGCTTCTTAGCTTTTTTTCTTCCCTCTTTACTCTTAGAAGTATTATCTTAATAGTATCAACACTGTATTGTTTCACAGCTGAATGTTTTATTTTTCCTTTATCAAGTACTCTTTATGGTCTTGAGCAACTTACCCACCTGCAAGGAAACTTGTGTGACTGCCATCCATTAGCATGTCATGCTGTCTATTCTACACTCCAGGCTGGACCCCTTTCCAGCTTACAGTCAGGTTTAACAGATAAATAAAAGTTTCAAAAGTCTGTGAAAATCACTGGCTTATGTATTGGAGAGAGAGGTGATTGGTGGTGTGAAAGGGGCTGAGGCCAGGGAGTGTGTGGAGAAGGAGGAGTTAGGGTGTCAATCCGTAGGTAATCTGTCTTCGTTAGTCTGATGCCCACATTTAAGATGTGCTAATTCACTTTACGGCTTGTTCTTGGTGGTTGAATAAGCATGGCTTCCTTTCCTTGTCTCTTTTCAGCAGGCTGGGTTAACAAATCATGCATTTTGCTGTTGCAGAAATGATATTGTGTAATCCCTTTCATAGCCTGGTCACACTCCAATTTAATGAAAGCTGAACTTCTTTCTTGTCTCGGCATGTATGAGCAGGGTGTCTTGGAGTCTCACTAATGGTAGAAACCTTCTGAAGTAAACACATTTGTACCTGTCTTCTTACACGTTCTTAAACAGCTTAATAGAGAGAGCTCTTAAATAGTTAGTTAAGCTTAAGTAGCTTTTTTTGCCTTTGTTTACATCCCTAGTGTATTCATAGAGAGTGGCTATGGCTTTTCCTAGCCTTTGTTTTACCAAGTTAATCAGGCAGTGCTCATCCCACAGCACTGCCTCTCCATTCCTCTCATTCATTCTTCTAACAGCCCTTCCCTGTCACTTCCATTGTGGATTTGTCTGCCTTCAACATGATTGACTGGAATTTTGTACACCATTTTAAACAAGGAGTCACCAGACCTTTTTACACAGTGAAAAATACATATGTAGCTAACCCAAGGACAGCAGACCGTCAGAGACTTGCTGTGTGCTAGATCATGCTCATGCGAACAGTGCTGCCACCTCTTGCATCCTTCCGCTGCTGTGTATCGGTGCTGTTCATAAAATTGTCTCTTGCTATCGTGAATCTGTCACTAGTTTGGGTGAGCAATGGCAGATGTGCTCTGGTGTGGCCAAGGCCTCCTCCTCCTCTTTCTTAGTGGCACATTGGTTGAATAGCAGTGGACATTCATATAGTCAATCTACCAGGCTCTGCTTGTTTTATATGCTAAGGGTATTTATTTAATTGCTTTAAAGAAATGGTGTTGACTGTAAAGAAATAGGAGATTATTATCCCACAGGAGACGGTACGTCAGTTTTCCTGCTTGAGATGCTAGGTTTTCATTTCAGGTTTACATGAGGAACTTTGTTGGTTTAATGCTTCCTGACTTTGAGCCATGTGAGGAATCTTCTTCAAGTGCAGGTTCATCCATTTGGGTTTGGAGCCTTTTCTAGTTCCTCACCACAGCTTAAGTTAAAGGTTCCTGGTAATTTTAACACATTCGACTTAATGGAGCTGAAGATCTTAGAAACTTTGACTTAAATTACCAGCTCTTTTCATTTGTTAAAATTGACCTTTAGCATTCAAGAAATATAGTAGCGAGATGTTCTTTAATTATTTTTTCTCTGCTTAAATTTAAAATCAATTAGCTTATGTTTTCCTGACCTAGGGTCAGGTTCTAGGAGCAGCTCTTCTGTAGCATTCTCATTAATTACCAAATTGGTATCTGAAATATTGCCTCTAACATTTCAGAGATTATTTAGTGGAAAAGAAATCTGCCTGGTGCCACATCTGGGAATTTAGAGCCCCATCCTAGGCAATGCTCGTTCTCTGGTTGAACATCCTAGATACAAGCTCTCATAGTAACATAGTCCTGAGGAATGTTCACCCCTCAAACAATATTTGGAATTTCATTCTCTGTCTTAACAGATACTGCTTTATGTTCTTTTTCCAAAATGTTTTTGTCTTAAATCAGTTCTTTCATTCATGGTACCCTACCTTTTTTTTTTTTGTTAAGTACTGGTGTCTGGTATTGTTAATAATTGGTGTTCCTTTGTCAGATTAACTTTTGTCTTTCTTGGACCCTCTCGTATCTTTGTCCTTGATGTTCTGCTACCTTCTCTTCTTCTCTCTGATGCCATGGGTTGTACTAATATTTTTGCTGCTAAAACATACTTGTTTTAGTATAAGAACAGCTGTTGCAGGGTTTTTTCCCCTTGTTCCCCAGCTCTCTGCAAGGACCTTGTCTTTATACTTCATGAGTTGTGGTTATTTCTGTAGTTGCATTTTCTAACTATTGTTCACATCAGTATTGATGCTTTTTCTCCTTAATACTCCTGTGTGGATTTTTGCTTCCAGCACTGAGAAATACATAATTACCTTCAGGATTTTTCCTGTATATCTCTCAAGCCACAGAAGTTATTCTTAGTACAAGAGAGACAGGTGAGTCTATAAGAGAGACCTTCCATCTTTCCTGGACACCTTGGAAGAATGAAATACCCAGATTTCTCCTAACTACTTGTGAGCCATCTGCTAGTTTTTATCATCTTGTGGTTTTAAGACTTGTGGAGCAATTCTGCCTAGGCCTTAATGTTTTGATTGCAGTCATCTTTTTCCATTTCATTGGATGATTCCTTTCATCATCTTTTTTTCTGTTCCAGTAGGATCTCCAAGCAGTATTAGTCCAACAAAAACAGATCCTAGCTCAGAATCAGTTCTTCGTTCAGTGGATGTTATAGGTAGGCAGTACAGTAAACATTACCGAGTGTGGTTTCCTCCTTAGAGAGAGGGAGATGCTAGGTTAATGTTACACTTAAGTAGAGGAAAGGTTGGTTGTTTACAGTCTCCACTGAAATTTGTGGCAATTCCTCTGCTGTTAGCCCTTCTGGAGTCTAAAGTGGGTGAAATGGTGTGAGAGGCCTGGTGGAGAGGAAGTAAGTTGCACCTGAGTTTAGGCTAGGCTTGTGACTCAGCCACCTCCAGATGCTTAATGGGTTTCTGCACGCTCTAAGTGGCTGTTTGTTAGCGCAGTGCTGGAGATAAAGAAATAACACCAACAAATTTCAACAACGCTGCTATTAGAAGGGGAGAAAGGGAGGAGTGTAGCTGTTGGTGTGTTTATGTTGAATGTTGATAATGCTGCTTTAATTGGATTGCTTTGGTTTGTTGGATTGAAATCACTTCTGAATCCAGAGGAACAAAAACTGCTCAGACATCTGGACCAGCTGTTTCTCCTTCTAAAAATCTCTGAGAAAACCAGCTGAGGTCAACTAGAGGGGATTAAACTGTGCAGATTTAATATATCATGACTCAATTTCCTAGGTGAATTATCTATGTTATGGTCTACTGAATTTTTGTAATTATGGCCTAGACTGTAATGTAATGATATGGAAGTTTATTTCCAGATGAAAGGTAAGCAGCAGTGTGTCTGCTCATCAGATTTGTTGTTCTACACTGTGTGTATTATGACAGATGGGGCTGAAAATTGTGTTTGTCTGCTTTTTATTTTCCACGCTTTCTTAATGGTGCATTATGACGCCAGTAGATGGGGGTGTTACTCCGGTTGTGTAGTTGCCTGTGGCTAAGCCTCTTCCTTTAGGGAGTGTAAATATGTTACGTTAACCTATACATGAAGAATAACAACTGGGCTTTTTTTTTTTTACTTTCCCCTCTCACATACATTTCTAAAGAAAACTTTTATTGTTCAACCTAAAAGAGATGCTTCTGACCTAAAAACCAGGTAGCAATGTAAAGACTGACAAGGATTGAAAGAGCAAGGGGGTTTGATCTGTTTGGTTGTGCTTTTTAAGGGTATCATACTATTTTAGTCAAAAAAGTGTATAGTAGTTAAAGTTTTTGGAGAAAGGTGACTTCCCTTCAAGATTGTTTTCCCTGAAGAAATCAGGGTATTAAGAGCTTGCAGATCTCCTTCCTTTGCAAAATACTGTTTCCTCCTTATTCTGCATGTATCGACAAGCTGTGTTGGAAACTAAGGGCTGTAATGTGTCTTTTAATGACCTTGTCTCAATAACAGAAGAAAATCCACCCAGGAACCTGCAGACACGGTGATGCTGGCTGTTTGCTGCCCTCTCTGACTTGAGGGTGGGGGGGTCTGGGATTCTTACTGCTGCTCTTGGCAGTGTTGATGGAGCAGACAGGTGGCCTCAGGAGTTGGTGGTGTATGTTCACACAGATGTAATAAGCTTTGTAGGAGAAAAAACCTAAAGCATTGCATTGCTTTTGTCTCCTAGATGATCCTCCTACTAGTTACCCTATAAAGGGAACTTTATAAATTTGTAAAGATAACAGTATTTTATATTTGTAACGCTTTTTGTAACTAACACAACACATGCCTCCCCCCTTCCCTTGCTCTGTGGGCATGAGAGTTTTCCCAATATCGGAGTGTGAAAAAAGGAGCATCTCATTTCCTTAACAACCAGCTTTGGTCATTAAAAAGATGAAGTGTAATAATTTAAACACTGGTTAAGCATCCAAGTTCCATCTTAGAAAAAAAAATCTGCTCTTTAGGCTTTTGCCTTGAGGATATGGAAATGGAAGGTTTACTTCTGCATAGGGTGGCACAGCCCCCCAGCCTGCCTCCTACTCTAGTAAGTCTGAGCATTGCCAAACATGGTGGCTCCAAAGGAGAACCTGCATTTACAGGTACCTGGTGGGGACAGTTCTCCTGTCTTGTTTTTGCGAGCATGACATAAATGTGCATGGGTGGTGGTCTGTGCGTGTGCCTGTGCAGTGGCTTTTCAGCCTCCTTGTGTTCAAAGCCGAGGCTTGGCTGGTCGTGCTGACTCTGCATCCACCTGCTTGTTTTTCGCTTCTATTTTCACAATACTTTTGGATCTGCTGACCTGTTTTGTCAGGATAAAGATGATCTCTAGAAGGTAATATTTCAAGGGAATGTGCGATGGATGGCATGTGTCCCCGCTGAGTGGAGGATAATACCTGTGAGACATCAGAAAACCTGCCAGGGGAGAGTTCAGTTTTGAATATATCAACAGCAAAATTCCCTGAGCAGAGCTTGCAGTTTATTAGAATCTAGTTAGCTGTGCCACCAGGTAACTTTATTGATAGCTCTGCTTATGAAAAGACTTTTTTTTTTTTTAAAGGTATTGGTGGATAAAAACCACTGATGTAATAATAATAACTGCTCAGTGTGGGACTTATCTTAAGTCTGATGCTGAGCAGTGGTGCACATTCTTGTTTCTGCTTAGACAGTTTAAAAACCTAGAGCATGTATCCCATGTTAGTGGGGGGAAGGGGAAGTATGTTTAATAAATCTAATTAGGAATCTGTAGTACACATAACTATTTTGTTGACTTTGAAAACAACCTAGAGCAACCTGGTCTAGTGGAAGGTGTCCCTGCTCATGGCAGGGGGGTTGGAACTAGATGGTCTTTAAGGTCCCTTCCAACCCAAACCATTCTATGATTCTCTGAAAAAGAAACTAAATATTCTTAAACGCTTTTAAAACTGTAGAACGGTAATATTTTTGGTTTGCTATATGTATGTTTTAAATGTTTCTGAGAGACTGTGTGACACTGTTGTATTCCTAAATAAAGCACACATCCCCCGATGGCAGCTTTGCAATCTGTAGCATTTCGATATCGATATTTTTGGAGTTTGCTAGCTGCAGTCCGTAACTATACCTCAGCCATTTTGCTACTGAAGCCATCCTTTCCAGCCGTATGTTCAGATGATTCCCTGGAAGGTCTGAGATTTATCAGATTTTTCTAATGGCAGGCCTCATAAGTCAGATTGAAAGATCTCAAATAGCATATGACTCAAAGCATCAACAGCTTTGAAATGTCACAAGTGGGACAGCTGGCCTTGCTAAGGGAAGGGGTGCTAACTATGGGACAAGTGTTGTTTTAAAATGAGCAGAAAGGGTCAGATTTAATACAAAATAAAGAAAAAAAAATCACTGAAGGGTGTTTTAAGATAAACTCTGGTGGTTTTCCTGTTTTTGAAGATGGCTATTCAAATGTTGTTAACTTACAAATTCCTTTTATAGATCTTATGCAACTGAAAATCTGATAGACATGCTTATTTGTCTTCTGTTGCATGAAGGAACAAGTATTAAGCATAGCATCTAATATATACTGTTAACTATTAACTGCATTTATTCTCAGTCTGACTGAATGCATGCACTTTGATTCTCCAAGTGCAGTTCTGCTTTTAGCTTGTTTGTGTCTGCTCATGCTACTTCATTGGTAAACACAGCATTTTAATGGGTGATGCTATATTTCTGCTGAAGTGTTTTGGTGCCCTGCAATTTGTAAGTTATGCAAGCTGTTAGAGAGGGCATGTAGTGCAAGCCCCTTGTTATCCAGTGCATTATGAAACCTGATATACACACTTACTAGTGGCAAAAGATAAAAACAGCAAAAGGATCAAACAGTCTCCAGCTAAGAAATGACCTTAACAGCATATTGGCAGCCATCGTTAAGGACTTGGAGACCTACATGGATTAGTTCTGGAGCCCTTTTGTATCTCAGATTTCTGAGCTGTAGGTTGATCTGTAAACCATTCTGAAAATTTCATGCTTCTGAGAGCAACGATGAATTGGTGGCCTTAACTTTCTGAGAAAAGCATTGCTTGGTTAAGCCAGGAAAAAAAAGTATAATTCTTTGAGTTATTAAATAAAGTTGTAACAAAATAGAAGCTTTGTTATGGGGGGTGCAAGGGAATGGATGGGAAAGAACTATTTACTTACTCCAGAAATATTTATAACATGTACAGGTTTATTGTTGGTGGATCATATTTTAAAGAGAAATTTTCTTTGAAAAGAGCAAAATTAGCATCTAGATGTTTTGTTTCTTTAAATGTTTTTCATTTCCCATTTTACTGCCCCTTTTTGTGTTCTTGCAAAATTGTGGTTCTTCAACAAGTGTTTACCAGTTGTTCCTACTGTAACTCTCATAAGAAAAATACAATGAAAAGTTGGAATTGACAAAGGAAGAGTGCTGCTGTGGGTGCATGCCAGAAAGTTTTCTCTGCTTTTATAGTTGCAGCTCTATTCAGAAGCCAGCGTGGCTCTCTTGCAACTAAATAACCCCAAGGGTTTCCAAGAACTGAGCAAGCAAGCAAAGAAGAACATGACTATAGATGGAAAAGAACTGACGCTTAATCCTGCTTATTTACTATGGGACCTCAGTTCTGTCAGTCAGGTAGGTAAATTCTGTTACAGCATGTAAAGGTTGTAGTATTTAAAAACTGCAGGTAGAGGTTAACTAGTTAATGACAGGGAACTTCATCCAGAAGCTTGGAAGTGGTAAGAATCCATTATTTATTATGTCATAAGAAAACAACACAAGAGCACTGTCAAATTCTGAAATCAAGGAGGAAGAAAGATCAAACAGAATATAATTTAATTGAAATTTTCTTATTCTCCATGAAGTGAAAAATTTTGACCTCTGCACATGTTCTGATGAAATTATGTGCAGTCAAGTCCTGAAAGGCTTCACCGATCCTGACTGACAGATATAGCATCGTCCAATACCTGAAGGGGCCTACAGGAAAGCTGTGAGGGGACTTTTTACAAGGGCCTGTAGTGACAGAACAAGGGGCAATGGCTTTAGACTGAAAGCAGGGAGATTTAGGGAAGAAATTCTTCATGGAGAGGGTGGTGAGGCACTGGCACAGGTTGCCCAGAGAAGCTGTGGATGCCCCATCCCTGGAAGTGTTCAAGGCCAGGCTGGATGAGATTTTGAGCAACCTGGTCTAGTGGAAGGTGTCCCTGCCCATGGCAGGGGGTTGGAACTAGATGATCTTTAAGGTCCCTTCCAACCCAAACCATTCTATGATTCTATGATAAGCAGGCTTCTTGTGTGCAGAAGACGGGCTTTATTAACAAAATTATTATCTCCTTCCTGATACGTTTCTTGGGCATGTTTTGCTTTGCAGCATCAAATATGTTGAGCAAATACTTCCATAAATTTTGAAGACCTGAAATACAGATGTCTGTAAAGAAATAAGGTTTACTTTGAATATTTGTGATGCAAGCAAGGATGTCTGGTTTAGCAAAAGGAAGTAAAATAACAAGGTGTCAGTTTCAAGATAAGATCTTATAAAAGATCTTGTTTTTTTTTCTTCTGCTAGAATTGAATTTAACAGTAAATGTCATGTGACATGGGTAAAGAAAATGTTCTCTCTCCAGTAAAACTTGCAGTCTGTCTTTGTATCCTGTGAACCTGGCTTTTGGAGATTTTTTTTCTCGTTAATACAAACCCTGAACTCTAAACTTTATACTTCCACATGTTGAAATTATGCATTATTTTGTTAATGGGTGTCTAGCCAATGAATGATGATATTGTTGAAATGTTTTCAGTTGTTACAGTTTTGAAAATGTGTAAGCTGTCTTACTGTACATATTAGAAAAGGAGACTCATTTACAGCATGGACACTCTGCAGTAATTGTTAAATGTTCAAATTTTTCTTGAGTTTCCTGTTTCAGTTGGGCATATCTTTTAGAAATGTTCCTTTTAGGCAGCCTTAATTTTTATTTTTAGAAGAGGTCATTAAGTTCTCATAAATGGGGAAAAAAACTTACGTTAGTGTCATGTAACCTAATTTTATTACTAACCTGAAGAGCTTCTAATTAGAATGTGGTCTTCTTAAAAAAAAACATATAGAAACCTTTAGCTACTTTATAGTGAATATTAGGCTCAGCTTTGTTAATTTTCTCCTGCTTAAATTCTTTAAAATGAAGAAGGGGACAATTGAAGAGCTGCTACATCACGACACTTCCAGTGTATCTATATTAGGTGACATTTATATATGGTTTATGATGCAGTGTACTTGGAAGGGCCCAGCCTCTTAAAACTGGATTTCTGAAAGGTGATATTCCTGCTTTGAAATGCAACTTGGCTTCTGATCAAGATGAGGAAATAATTGAGACTAATAATCCAGGGAAACAAGAGGGTGTGTTTTTTCTGGGGTTCTTTCTGCAAGATCTGGCATCACACAAGGCACTGTTGTCAGCAGACATCCTAATCATACCAGGTGGTCAGCCATTGATGTCAGAAGATTGGATTGTTCACCTTGGTCATTCACAAGAACATGATCCCTTAGAAGAATAATGGTATTTGATCGATGTCCTTTTTAATTTTGAATGTCTGAGACATCAAATGCTTATGCACCTGTATGCTAAAGCACACTGCTGTTACCTAGCTAGATCAGAACTTCCATGTTCTATTTAAAATCTAAGAAAGGATTTTTTCTGTTTAAAGTCTAAACAGGATGAAGATATTTCTGCCAGCCGTTTTGAAGATAATGAAGAGCTGAGATACTCATTACGATCAATAGAGAGGCATGCTCCTTGGGTACGGCATATTTTCATTGTCACCAATGGGCAGATTCCTTCCTGGCTTAACCTGGATAATCCTCGGATAACTGTAGTGACACATCAGGTAAAACCCAAACAAACAAAAGCCAAACAAAAAAAAACTCCACCAAAACTCCAAACAAACAAAAATACCAAATACCAGCATGGAAGTGCCACTGGTAAAGATTCTCTGTGTGTTTTAAAATGCAGTTATGTCCTCCTAGCTATAGGCTGCATTTATTTGGAAGGTATAAGTGACCACTACTTCCCCATCTCATCCATGGTTTTATTAAACTCCAGTATGTCTTTGTATTTTGGATAAGCAGATAACTGGATATATACCAAGCCTTTATTTAATCCACTTTTCCAAATACTGAGGCTTCATCTAACACATACCCATGCCTAATTTCCTTATAAAGTCTAGTTATAAAAAAAACAGAGGAGAGGAAAATGTATTCTGAATCCATAAACACACTCTCAGGACCAGTAATAATCTAATAAATTTGTGTTGAGACAGCGTGGATTAAAGTTACTGGAACGAAGAAGATCACTGCAAAAGAAAGTAGCTATGCATTCTAAAAAGCTGGTTTAAAAAGAGAAAGGGTATCTATCCTTCAAGCTTTCTGAATAAGTGAAACAAAAATATTCTAGTAGCTTCTTATTACAAATTTGGGACTAATTTTGGAATCTGAGCGTGCCATAGAAGCCCTGAGCAACCTAAGTGGTAAGGGGATACTATAGCTCAGCTTCTGTGGCTGTCTGCTTGTGAAGTTACTTGGAAGAGATGGAAGAATCCTGACTTTTTGAATGCCGGAACAGGTTCAACTTGCTTGAAACTTTGGGCAGCCTGTACAGCATTAGAAATGTATATATGTGTACACTGGGCCTGATCCAGTACCCAGTGAACGAGTAGTTTGTGCCTTTGTGTTGAACCAGGTGCAGTTTTGGAGTTAAGCAGCAGGCTTGAAAATGGTTTTGTGTGGGGAAAATGATAGCAAAGCTTTTTTTCTTTGCTGCTAAAATATTTTAGATCTTTTTGTCTTTATATCTCCACTTGTTCTTAATAAAATTTTCTTTTTTAGTAGATAAGTATCAGATATATCTGATGTACGTGACATGGGTTTTTTATGGTTTGTTTTTATTTTAATTTATTTTTGTCTCCTGAAACTCTTGAGTTGTTGGGGCTTTTTTGTTTTAGGAAATATTTCAGAATGTGAGTCACTTGCCTACCTTCAGCTCACCAGCTATTGAAAGTCACATTCATCGTATCAGTGGCCTCTCTCAGAAGTTTATCTATCTTAATGATGATGTTATGTTTGGGAAGGATGTTTGGCCTGATGATTTTTACAGTCACTCTAAAGGTCAAAAGGTAAGCCGTTATGACAGATAAATTTTTTTATCAGAAGTAGATGTAAAACTTTTCTATGCTAATATAATAGAAATCAGAGTACTACTACTTTGAAAGGGAGAGTAAATATGAGACATCCCTTTGCTGTCTGCTCCCCCTCTTACCTCCCAAGGTTCATTGTTCTTAGACAATTGTTAGCAAAGGTGCAGGGTGAGGAGGGCTCTGTCTTTGTGTACTATATTAATCTTTGGGTTGCAGAACTACTTTTATTCATATTTGCACACAGGTTTTTAGTGGTATATTGGTTCCTCTGTCAGGCTTCGTGCTTTCGTTTATCAGTGTCATTTCCTATTTCTCCCGCTTTCTGTTGGAGCACTGGTAAGACTGATGTGGCATTTGGCAGCTGTCAGTCTTCCTTCTCTTATAAATTCTTCGTGTTTATTGGACAGTGTTCAAAAAACCCAGAATCAATTCTTCTATGAGAATGCCAAGGTCAGATGACATTCAAACTGGATGAATATTTAGTTACCTGTGTTCCAGACACCCACAGTATCTTTGCCCAATATATAAATAATCATATGTATGATTATTTACTGAAAGATATATTGGTGCATGTTCATGAACATCAAATTACTTAGTTTTTCAGCAGACCTGTTATCACCAACTGGGGTTATTAAGCGAGAAAAGCAGGCTTAGGAAACATTAGCAATTATTCATGCATAAAGACTTCAGTTGCTGGCAGAGTTTTCATCCATGAGCTTGACCTACAAGAGCGACATGGGGGAAAAAATATTTATAATTTATATTTAAGCACAAGTATACAAGACACTAAAGACCACTGCATTAAACACTTCATGCAGGCAGATGTGCGCACACACACAGAAGGCTTAAAATTAGTTTAAGCTACCCTAAAATTACTGTTTCAGTACTTCAGAACATTAGGAGGTTTTTAGTTTTAAATCTTTAAAGCTATAATTTGCATATAATTGCAAAATCATATTGTTAGTGTGTTTCTGTTGTTCTTCAGTTATTCTTCCCAGTCACGACGATAGAATTTAGGTGCAGTGGTGTTTGTGATAACCAGATTAGCAAGTGTTTGAGTAGGAAATGTGCTGCCAAACTCTTGAAGCAATAAGGCCCAAAGGAAAATATGTGTGGTTTTTAATGCCTCCCCAGTTGAAAATACACACACCCACACACTTTTTTTTATCTTGTCAATTCTTAGAATTATTTAAGTCATAGAAGATCAGATGCTTCAGGGATTATGTTCAACATGTGCTGCTTATCTCATGACTGGTTAGTAATGGAGAAACATTTTGAGTCAGGAGAACAAATGAACTGCAGAGCTGTTTCAGAGTTTAAGTTCCCCCTGCTTGTCTGATAAAAGATAAAATATTAACTTTCAATGGCATATGGTCTGCAGAAGTAGATTTGGGAAATCCTGCTTTATATTTCTGGCCATTGCTCCATTGCTGTACGGCCTTGAGAATTCTTCAGTTCTTCCTTCTGTTTGAAAGGGATAACATTTACTTCACAGGTGACAGGGCTTAAAAGCTGTCTGTAAAGCTTCATGAATACTTAAGGCACTATACACAGGCAGACATTATTTTAAGCTTCTGTATTCCAAGAAACAAGCTCAGTTGACTTCTATTTGCCAGTCCTTATCTCAGACTGTAATGTTGTTTCAGGTTTACTTGACTTGGCCTGTGCCAAACTGTGCTGAGGGATGTCCTGGCTCATGGATTAAAGATGGTTACTGTGATAAAGCCTGTAATAACTCAGCATGTGATTGGGATGGAGGTGATTGCATTGGTAAGACTGCAATGTTAAATTTAGAAAAAGTGAACTGTTTGTTTTTCTTATAAGAATAATTCTATCACTTGTCATTCTCTGGTAACACAAAATTTGCCTCCTTCAATGGTAAAATAATGTTGGCTTACAGATGAAAACTTTATTTCTTAAATTTTGCAAACTATAAATTTTTATGGAAAATCATTCGTTGGGTAACAAATTTGACTAGGTGAAATAAAGGTTTTTGAAATTCAATTTATTATTGTACTAGATACAACATTATATATAATTTGGGCTCAGAATCCAAATAGTAACAGGACTGTGATGCTGCACCATTAGTTTCTAGATTGAGTTTTCAGGACTGCAAGGTAGGAAAATGAAGTGGTACTTTTGGACGGAGGAAGTGATAGCCCTCTAGGAAGCTGTAAAGTCAAGATTGCAAGCATGAGAAAGTAGTAAATTTTTCTGAATTCTTCCTTTTTGAAGTTATGAAAAATATGTTGGAGTGGTTTTTTTTCAATTTTAAGTTGTTTCCTAAACTTCTACCGGGAGACTGTGTATACTTACGGATCTTACACTAACTCACAGAGTTCTTGTTAGCCTTTGCCCCATTTTAATTTCACCGGTGATAAGTTTGTACACTTTTTGTTCTAGCTTTAACACTGTAGCTTAAAATGTGCCTTTCTTCAGAAATAAGGATTTCAAATTACTGGGGTTTTTTTGTTTTTCTTCTCTCTCCCTGTAGGTAACAGTGGGGGCAATCGCTATGTTGCTGGTGGAGGTGCAGTTGGAGGTATTGGGAATGGACCACCATGGCAGTTTGGTGCAGGAATAAGTGGTGTTTCATACTGTAACCAAGGCTGTGCTAATTCCTGGCTAGCAGACAAATTCTGTGATCAGGCCTGCAATGTCCTCTCCTGTGGATTTGATGCTGGTGACTGTGGCCAGGGTATGTGAATTCTCTTGAATTGCGTGACCTGTTTGGTTCATCATTTCTCCCAAACTGGGCTAAGATGCCCTGTACAGAGTCATGGGAAAGAGCTGCTAGCGGCTGAAGAAAAATAAAATCAGATGCTTCACCAATCTAAACCTGAATCCATGTTATATGCTGCTTTATTTAGTAAAACTGTTAGTGACCAAGCATGGGTGGGGGGCTTGATGCTTCACGAAGCAGCAAGCATTAAACTCCTTGCCCCAAGAGGCTTACATTTTAAGTGGAGAAATTAGATTTCAGCTATGCAAACAGTCTTTACCCGAATAAGGACAGCTGACTTGATGATGCCCGTAGGGGTTAAGAAATTTAAAGAACCTCTTTGATGCTGACAGCACGAGTTCAAGCCTGGCTCTGGGCTCTTGCCAAAGGCTACTTTCAGTCACCCGTGAAGTTCCCTGAAGTTTATGTTGATATGAAAGACTGTCAGGAGTGAATGGATTGAGAGTGCTGTCTAGTATATGCAGGGGAACAGAAATGGAAGAATTTGGCTTATTGGGAAGAGTAGAGGCTCCTCTGCATCTCAGCTCAGACAAACGTGTTACTGGCAGTTCTGTTGCTGGCAGTGAGGTTTTGTTCATGTGAGAGTTGACAGATAATCTGTCTTCTGCTGTGAGAGGGAGAAGTTTGATTCACCCTATCTGATGTTGGAAGTCTCAAATCAAGATGCAGTGCAGTAGGGAAATCCAACTGTTGTAACATTAATCTACTGAAATGGGGCAAAATTGTAGTTATGGACTTGTTACTTATGACTGATACATAATTTTAAGTGATGTGTGATCATGAGACGCTCAAAGAGTGATAAATTATATATTAGAATTACCACTGGAACATCTGGCAGCTTTATATATCTGAGTATGTTCTGCTTATTCATTATTAAAGATAGGTGAGCAAGAAACTGGAAGCTACTGTAAGTGTTCTTTCACAAAGCTGTCTCCCTGCTAATGTTGTAAATCTAGCTGGGCATCTTACAGTTAAAGAAGACTGGAAGACAGGTGTCACACTGCAGATTGACAGAAATTTTTTTTTTCCTTTTTTCCCCAGATCACTTTGACGAGATGTACAAGGTGACACTTCAGCTTAATCAGACCTACTATGTAATTCCCAAAGGTGAATGTCTAGCCTACTTCAGCTTCAGCGAAATAGCCAAGAAAGGGATTGAGGGTTCATATAGTGATAATCCAATTATCCGGCATGCTTCAGTTGCTAACAAATGGAAGACTATCCACCTCATAATGCATAGTGGCATGAATGCAACTGTGGTCTATTTTAACATTACATTTCTAAATAAAAATGATGAGGAGTTTAAAGTGCAGGTTGCTGTTGAAGCTGATACTAGAGAGGAACCAAAACTGAACACAACTTCCATGCAAAAGTCCAGCTCTGATTTTAAAACTGTAACTTCAATACCAGAAGCTGAAATGATATTTGAGGATATTCCTGAAGAAAAACGCTTTCCAAGAGTCAGGAGACGTCGAAATGGCACAAAGGAGGGTCTGCGTGAAGAGGTGCTAATACCATCAGTAAACATGTCTCTCCTTCCTGAAGGTGTTCGCCTAGCACTGCAGAAGCTGGACTTAAAACTGCTGAGTGGTGATATAACTCAGAAGGGATTTAACCTATCCAAGGCTGCTCTTCTGAGACCTTTCCAGCTCTTACCTACAGTAAAGAGTAGTACAGGCCTGGAAAAGGAGGTGCATAATCATTCAGAAAATAAGAACAACTATACCAGCTTGCAGAAGCCTCCTAAAGATGTGAACAATGGCAAAATAAAATCAGTAGAAGCAAAAGAACTCCCTTCAAGGCTCACAGGAACAAAGGGCACTGTTGTGACAATGAACACAAATAAACCTATTTATAAAGTAAAGCCTAAATACACACTTCCAGCCCAGAGCTTGGGAAATAAAAATGAAACTCGAGAAAAAGTACTGAATGCACTCATATTAAGGGAAACCCAGAAATCAAAACACACTGGGAATTTAGATACTGGAGAAGACACACACGGAATGGAAGGAGGAAAGGAGGGTGTGCAAGTGGATACAAATGTAAGGGAGGGGTTAGTGGGAAGAAAATTACAGTTTTATGCTGGAAGTTACCAAGGCTTTTTGCCATGGGAGAAAAAGAAGTATTTCCAGGACCTTCTTGAGGTGAGTATCTTAATATTGCTTATTGGAATAGTTGCTGTTTTTCTCATTTAGTGGAATACAGTTAATATGACCCATAAATTTAGAATGTGCCTTGCTTTTGAGGCAAATACTGAGATTTTTTGAAAGCTCATTTTGACTTTTCACATAAAATTTGATTTGTTTATGATCTGGGCCTGTCTTTGCTAGGTGACAAAAACTGAATAGTTATTTCTGTTTCCTTTCTACTGCCTTTTTTTTAGTCAGATTCACTTTTTATTCGTTGTATGTTGGCACAGTGGTATTGTTCAGACATAGCACTACAACAGAAAGCGTAAATTTTCTTTTGATTGCATTTATGCAAATATGGATCCAGCTTATTAAAAAAAGTTTCATGGTAAGTACTTGGATTCTAAAAGTTAAATTGGAAGTCTGCTAACAAAACTGAGTATCTAGACAGTGTCAAGAAAGCTTCATCTGCTGCCAGCCAAACCATTTTGCAGTTTTGAAAACCTCTAGAAGAGAAGATGGAGACAGTGCTTCAGTTGGTAGCAAACTGCTTTGCACTATTCCGTATAGCAAAGGAGCTGTTTTCAATAATCTACCTTTTTCTGTTTATCTGAGATAGGATTTTGCATGAGGAATCTCTATATTCATAGGATTCCAGTTTATCAAATGTGGATGAATAATCAGATGAAAAAAGGCAATATTACAAATAGATATGATAGCAGACAGGGACTTGAGTGTGTCTGTGTATGAGGTGTCAGAGCATAAGTATTAAGGAAGTTTTTTATAAACTACTACTCTTCAAAGCATGACAACTTTAAGGAAAATGTTACATTTTATCTTTTCTTTTTAAAGATAGAACTAAGGAATATGAAGAAAAATATTCAGAACTTCTCTTTCCACTTTTAAATACTGGAAAGTGATGGCACCTGTCTGAAATGTCATTTTTCCTAAGTGTTTAATGTTATTTGGTCTTTTTCATTAATGTAACCTTGATTTATGCCTGTCTTGCTATTTAGGAAGAAGAGTCCTTACTCAAGCAAATGTCATACTTTACTGATGGCAAGCATTTTGGAAGGCAGCTGAAAGATACATTTGCTGATTCCCTCCGATATGTAAATAAGCTTTTAAACAGCAAATTTGGATTTACATCTCGGAAAGTCCCTGCTCATATGCCTCATATGATTGACCGCACAGTTATGCAAGAGCTACAGGATATGTGAGTATGGCTTTGTTTGGAATAATAAAAAACTGTTGGTAATTGTACTTTTCTGTTCATGCTTTGCTCTAGCTATTTCCAATGTGATTAAAATTATATTTTGAAAAAGGAAGTGGGGAATTCATTGTAACATGATAGTTGTGCTAAAATAAGGAGACTTCAAGGACCTTTCAAAATTCTAGATGAGAATTTGTTTTTAGGCAAGGAATGTTTTACTTTAAGAAACTGGAGAACTAAATAAGTTTACATTCCTATCTAGGTTTCCTGAGGAGTTTGACAAGACATCATTTCACAAAGTGCGGCACTCAGAAGACATGCAGTTTGCTTTTTCGTATTTCTACTATCTTATGAGTGCAGTCCAGCCACTGAACATATCTCAGATCTTCGATGAGGTTGATACGGACCAGTCAGGCATTTTGTCTGACAGAGAGATTCGCACGTTGGCCACGAGAATCCATGAACTACCATTAAGTTTGCAGGTACCTTTCCTCAGCAGTAACTTTCAGTGCAACTTGAGTTTTGAAGTCCTAGACTGTTATCATAAAATGAGTCAAATCTTTATCCTTGCTTGTAACATCAGGCAATTCTTAAATTCTACCCGGAAAACATAGCTTGGTGTTCTACTTTACCGTTGTTATATGGAATCGACAATTAAATTGAGTGCTAGCAGCATCAGAAAAATGGATCACTGGTGTCTGAGTTCAAGAAAACAGTATGAGCGTGTCAGAAAAGGTGTTCACTGGTAAAAAGCCGCAGTGAAGAGTGGGGTCTCGTTGTGGTGGTTCTTGCGTGCAGTAAAAGACAGTCCTGGCCCTGAGGAACTTGTAGCCTAAAGAAAGAAGAGGGGAAGAAGGGTAGCAAAGGAGGAGACTCACACTTCTAGTTTTCTAGAAATGAAAATGTATGATGTAATGAAACGTATAGTCTATACGTGAAGACTCCACATTTCTGTTTTTTCTAGAAACCTGATCAACAGAGACATAGTCTTTGTAGGACTTACACTCAGAGACAGTTGGTAGAGAATGAAGAGTGCTCTTTCTGCTTTACAGAGAGGAATTGTCACAAACAAAAAATATGATATGTTCTTAAAACATGACTCAAACATTGGTATAGCTGGAACACAGCCCTGCTTTAGTGTGTTCCTGGCCTGTACCTTCCTGTCCTTTCAGCTCACTCTTCTGTTTGCTTGCTTGATTTGGGATTTAATATGCCACTGCTAGTTTGGGAATTCTCTACTGACCTGGCATCACCAGTAGAGGTGTTTCTCATTTTTAAATGAAAGTGACATTAAGTCATGCTTTATCTGATCTCAGTTCAACTATGCACTGAGCATGTGCTTTACTTTAGGCCTATGGGAAATCCCACTGACTTTGGCAGTTATTGAATTGGGGTCTGCTGAGTATTAAGTTGTTTTTTTCCAGCAGTAGCATGAAAACTTTTTTATGTAGACAACACTAAATGTCTGTGTACCTTGGATTTTTAGAACTATGTCAGTGAGAAAACAAGATTATCTTTTTTTCCTCTTTCTGTTAGGATTTGACAGGTCTAGAACAAATGCTAATAAATTGCTCCAAAGCTCTTCCTGCCAACATCACTCAGATCCATGTCATTCCACCAACTCAGGAAGCATATTATGATCCCAATCTGGTAAGAAACATTGGTCTTTAAAAGGTGCTCATTTTCTTTCCTGAGCATGTATTTACTGTGCTTAAAAAGCTGGTTGATTTCTAGAAGGAATGTGTTTACAAAAATTTCTGCTTGTGCATGCATGAAGTGTTATAAAATGAAATTTTACAAGCTACTTCCTAATGTTATAAAGCTATTAATTTCCTTCAAAAACAGAGAAAAGCTGAACTTCAGAATGTTGTTATATGTGGGATTTTAAAAGTTATCCTTGTTAGGAAATTTACGGTTGTGAACCAAAAGTCAGTAAGCCAAACACCACTCTGACTAGAACTTTCTGTTAAGCTTTTATATGTTATATTCCATATATTTAAAAACAAAACAAAATAAAAAAAACCCAAACTATCAGATGGACATCTTTTAGAATAATTCTTCTTAGCTTGAAGGCTTCAGACTAACTACTTTCAACATCCAAAGATGGACTGACAAGTACCTCATGAAATTCAGCAAGAAGTGCGAAGTCCTGCACCTGGGAAGGAACAAGCCCATGTACCAGTATATACTGGGGCCTGGAAAGCAGCTTGGCAAAAAGGACCCGGAGGTCCTGTTGGGGCACCAAGTTGAGCATGAGCCAACAGTGTGCCCTTGCCACAAGAGGGCTAATGGTACCCTGAGCTGCATCAAAGGAAGTGTTGCTGGCAGGTGACCCCTTCTACTCAGCACTAGTGAGGCTGCACCTTGAGTGCTGGGTCCAGTTCTGGACTCCTCAGTATAAGAGACACATGGACATAGCGGAGGGAGACCAGTGAAGGGCCATGAAGCCAATTAAGGGACTGGAGCATTTCTTCTTTGAGGCAAGGCTTAGAGGGTGGGGGCTGTTTAGCCTAAAGAAGGGTAGTTTCAAGGGGATCTTACCAGTTAATATAAATATCTGAAGGGAGGGAACAAAGAAGATGGAGCCAGGCTCTTCTCAGTGGTGTCCCAGAGTGGGGTGGACAAGAGTTAATGGGCACAATCTGATAACACGGGAGGCTCCCCCCGGACATCAGGCAACACTTATTGTGAGGATGACCAAGTACTGGTGCAGATTGCCCAATTCTGGGCAGTCTCCATCCTTGGAGATACTTGGAATCCACCTGGACGTAGTCCTGGACAACTGGCACTAGGTGGCGCTGCATGAGCAGGAGTGTTCGACCAGATGGGTTACTGATGCCCCTTCCAACCTCGACATTCTGTGAAAATTGAGACTTCATTTTGCCTCTTTATAACTCTCAATTAGTTTTCAAAGTTTTTACTTCACAGAATTTTGCAGAGTATTAATAAAAGGATGGTTGCCATGAATATTATTTAAGATGGGTTAAAAATAAACCTCAGTGGTTGGGAACAATGTCAAATTATTTTACTAGCTCTCCAAAAAGATTAAAATATTACTAATCTAAGCAGCAATGCCTAATGTACTGATGTTATGAGTCAGTTTAAATAGTGACAAAATAGGCTCTGTGCTAAACGCAAACCCTATCTATTTTTTTTATTTCTGTTGTCTGTGACAGCTAAATTTCTGGGAATGTGTCTACTACCACAGAAATGTCCCTTCAGAACAGGGATTTTATTTCTTAGAATTGTTTCAACATAGCTTGTGATAGAAATGAGGCCTAATGTGTATCAGATGTTCTACAGAATTTGCCTGGCCACTGTTCCTGGTAGCCTCTACCTGAGGAATGTCAAAGACAGCTGTCAAATGAGCTATAATTTCTGAATATTTTATTGAGGATGAAATCTAGAATTTGCATTTTTTTTTTGTGCCAAAAATCTGTATTTTTTATATATTTGTATGCATAGGAATTTGATGTTATGCACTGGTATCTTTGGTGTGGTTTTGGTTTTGTTTTCCCCTTAACAGTTGATCAAGAAACTAGTGCTTTTCATTCCAGGAGAGTAAAGTGTATGCAGGCCTTTCTAGCTGTAATGTACTTTGTTAAAAAGACATAAGTTTTCTACAGGCTTTATAATTTTCAGTAACCTGTAATCTAAACAATATTTTCTTCCAGCCTCCAGTAACAAAAAGCCTAGTGACTAATTGCAAACCTGTGACTGACAGAATTCGAAAGGCATACAAGGACAAAAACAAATACAGGTATGTTGTTACAGTCCTGTGCGAAGCCATGCTAGCTTTTGTGAAGAAATAAGAAGGGGTATAAATACATTCATGACCAAGGATTGTTTATGTATGTTAACAAATCTCAGCTCACTTTAGTTTAACATTAGAACTGAAGAAACATACTGATATCTACTTATGAATGTTTCATTGTGTGGAATATTTTTTTTTTAGTTTCTTACTTAGTAGACTAAATATTCCCATGCTAATTCTGTCAGCTTGGACCAGTTCCCAATTTTTGTTGTACAACAGTAAGCCAAATTATCTTTAGATGGCTGCATAAATTGACTATATGTAGTGAGTGAGGGCAATTAAAGTAGTGTAAAAAGGAGGAAAGAGCCTGCTCTGTTCCTGGAACTTGTAAATCTGCTTTATCCTTTCTTCTACTGAAGCTTAAAAAGAGAGAACTTCAGGAAAAGCATTTTAGGCCTAACTACCTTGTAATTTTCCTGTAAGGAGGAGGAATAACAGGTAGGAGTGACAGGTGTGAGGAGCGGCTGAGGGTGCTCAGCCTGGAGAAGAGGAGGCTGAGGGGAGACCTTATCGTTCTCTACAACTACCTGAAAGGAGGGTGCAGAGAGGTGGGGGTTGGTCTCTTCTCCCAAGTGATAAATGATATGGCAAGAGGAAGTGGCCTCAAGTTGTGCCAGGGAAGGTTTAGATTGGATTTTAGGAAAAATTTGTGCACAGAAAGGGTCATCAGGCAGTGGAACAGGCTTCTAGGGAAGTGGTTGGGTCACCACCCCTGGAGGTATTTAAAACATGTGGATGAGGTGCTTAGGGGCATGGTTTAGTGGTGATATGAGCAGTGCTAGGTTAACGGTTGGACTCAATGATCTTAATGGTCTTTTCCAACCCAAAAGATTCTGTGATTCTATGATCGTGACTGTGGGTTTGTTTGTATAATTGTATTTGCATAAATCTGCCTGAGATGCAGATTCTACCAGATCTTTCTTCTCTGAAACCTGCAAACCAACTGCACGCCAACGAGGCTGTTTGGCGTGGAGCTTATAGCCTGGTCTCCTGTCCATTGCCTCACCAGCAGCATTGGGCAGGGGAGAGTGGTGAGGAGTCTCTGAAGTGTGCAGTTGTAGCTACTCCTGGGGCAAAGTCAAATAAAACTGTAGGATGAAAGAAGGTTATTGATTAGGTGTATGTGGAAGGTTTTATTTAAATTTAAGGTCGTAGTTTTATATACCCTGCTGTAATTTTATGTAAGATTTTTCTGTCATTGTTGATTGGATAAGAACAACGTGTTTTCTCACATCAATTAGAGTTGTAAATTGCGGGAAGGTGAGGAGGGGGAGAAGAGCATAGTAAGTGTTATGTTTGCTTTCAGACTGCTACTCTTTTGCTGAAACTTGTAGTTTACATAATTTGTATTAGAATTCAGTTCTTCAGTTTATGGATGGTTACTAATAAATCTATAGGAAAGTGGTTCTGTGCTAGAGCATTAGCTGAAAAATGTGAGTATACTGATAGAAATCAAGTTATAAATTCTAATGAAGGTTGGACAGTCAGATCAGAAATTCTATTAAATATATTAAATTGATATTTATTGAATGTGAATTTGAGTTGTTCTACTAATGTACAATTTTTTATAACAATAAGGTTTGAAATCATGGGAGAAGAGGAAATTGCCTTCAAAATGATTCGCACAAATGTTTCTCATGTAGTTGGTCAGCTGGATGACATACGAAAAAATCCCAGGTATCCTGTTTCTTGATTTGTATGAAGCTTTGAGATGGTTTTAATTTTCTGCTTCAACTGTTCAAACTGTTTGTGTGTTGAAAAAAAAATATTGCAATGTATATTTATATTGTGTTACAGGGTAAGACCAATCTTAACCAAAAGTACTTCCATTTTTTTCTATTGAAGTGAAGCTAAGTGGCTTCTCTCTCTGTTGTGCTAGGGCTTTTCTGATTAATTTGTTACATTCTTAAATGTCCAAAACTTTTGAAAACTTATAAACTTCAGCTGGTTTTAAGGCTTTCATTTTGCTGTTGTTGAAAGCATACAGTTTATATTGCAGGCAATTTATTTTAAAGGAAGAGTGTTTTGATCTTCTTTATGTAGCAATTTAAAAATTAAACTTAGCCATGGATTATTTTGTTGCAAAATCAGTTTTGCATACCCATTATGCATTCATACTGTGTTACATTGCAAGAGTTAGTGATATTTTTTTAATATTTGGCAAGAAACAATCCAAAGCTGGAAGGAAATCCTCTGCTTCTCCACTCTGTGGTGGTGAAAGTTTTAGATACCCAAATGTGAGAGCAGGCTCTGTAGTGTTGAATTAGGCTCCTGAAATGACTGTGAGGTAAATGGGGAAAAAGAAATTAAATATATTTCACAGTCACCAGCTTGTAAAGCAAAGGACACTGGATTTGAGACTCTGCTTCACAGAAGCATTTAACTGTAGTCCTAATCTCATTGCATAAGACTGGGGTTCAGCAAGACATGGTGAGATAATTTAATAGCCAGCTGTCTTGGAAGTGAGACAGTGCCTCCACCTGACTCCTTCCTTCCTTCCTTCTCAGTTGCACACTTTTGTCTTGCACTTTGCTTCTGTCTTCAGAAAACTAGAGAGTTCTCTTCCAGTTTAATGAGTTTGGCCTCACAAATGTCAAAACAGAGTAAGGAGGAAGGTAGGACCAGGTACCTTGGGCCAGGGACACTGAAACCTCTTGCAGGTTTCTGCAAACTATTGGGTAATCTCAGTGGCCTGTGAAGCTGCACCATTATTTGCATTTGTAGATAAAGAGCAGATTTTCATTTGCCTCACACTGTACCACTTGCTAGGCCATTCATTCAGAAAGGGGAATACTGGTCTTGAGACATTTTGCAGCTAAAGGTGGTTTGTATCTTTTGTTCCTCCTTAACAGGAGTGTCTTCTGGCCCCATAACTTCTGCTTTCTAGTTCTCAGAAGACCTGGTTCAGCATACCCCTAAGTCATCCTGCTACCTCCCCTTCCTCCTCCATTTCCTTGTATCTGCTGGCCAGGACTTCTAGAAATGTAGGTGTGATTTCAAGCCTTCTGCTAGGTCCAAGGAGGGCACGTAACATGGGTTTCTCACCTTCAGTGTTCAAGTTTGTGCCTGTAATCACTGGCTGCTTATTTTGAAGGGTGGTTGCTGCTGTCAGATTTGATCCTGACACTGTGTTGGTTGTGGTACGAGTATGCCTGATGGATTGAGGCCTTCTAGCAACTTAAAATGGAGATGCCTATTCTGTGGAGTGATTGCATCCTTAGATAAGGATGTGTTTGAGTAAAGGTGTGTGGTCTGTCTCGGGAACCTCAGCAGGCAAGATGAGGCATGGGAGCTGATCTGTTTTGAATCTTCCCTCACTTTCAGATGATGCGCTGGCATGCTATTGTGGACTCAGCCTGAGATTCCATATATACATACCCTTTTGGTTTGGGTTGGTTTTTTTGTGTTTTTTTTTTTTTTTTCCTCTGATGGAACAATAGCGTATTGTAGTCCCAGATTGTAGGCTGGCTGGTGAAGTGAGGTTGAACCAGTGACTTGGGCTGTATTCCCGCGAAGCGTAGTGTGGTACTGTAGTCATACCTTGTTAGCAAGGGAGAGCTGGCATGGCTATGTAGGCATGTCATTTCCTACTCTTTGCGATACTTTCCCTGCACAGTTATACACAGTCTCTAAAAACAGATACTTGCTGCCTCTCTTGGGACGAACTAAAGGTATTGATCATGTGGTGATCTGCCCAAAATGTTTGTTTTGCATCCTTCAGGAAAAGTGAGCCTTAATCGTCAAGGCATTAATTCTGTAATACCCAAAGGAATGTCAGATTTGGTTTCTTTTGGATGGATTAAAACAGTCTTCCCCTTTGAAACAGGTTAATATCCTCATTGCTCTTGCTAACTGTGTGTTAGTTTCCTCTGTGTAATAGCCTCTCAGTCTGTAAACTGCATCTCTTTCAGATGAAGCTAAACAGGGATATATACTCTAGGAGGGTAGCTACTGCATTCCCAGGGCTAATGAGCTGCCAGTCCAAGGGACAAGGTCAGGGATAGTCCAGAGTGAGCTATATGCCTATAGTGTAGACATGTGGCGGTCATAACCAGCTGCTTTGCATAGTATTACTTGATAGCATAGACATAGCCTGCTTATCTTCGGAGAGATGTATTTTGTTCTTCTCGGATGTAGCAATTCGACTGTTTATCCCCTGCATGTAATTGTCTAGAGCAAGATTACCAATTATGCCAGATTCGGTACAGACTGAGGAAAAGCGGCCATGCCCTGCATAGGCAGATTCATGTGCTCTAGAGTTCTGCTTATTTCCAGCTTCATGCTGGAAGTCTGAACTTTGCTCTTTGAAAGAGCACACCATACTATAGAGAATACAGCTGACCAGAACTACTTATTTACAAAGGTTAGCAATTACAAGGCATATGTCACCAGATATGATTTCTCCCTCAGGGGAAAAGGTAAGGGTCTTGTATCTCACAATATAAATAAAGCACATAACCTTGCCCATATGTGGGAAAGGGAATTTTTGTTGTCGAGCACCAGGTCAGTGTGGCCAAGGGTACATAGCAGTCTAGCACACAAGCTGCTGCTTTAGTTGCAATAATTTGCAGTAACCTAGATAGTTGTGTGTGTTATACAAGAAATAACTGCAAGAGGCTTCGCTGGGAGCATGTGCTTATTCGGTCATAGTGATTCCCATATAAAATCTACCCAGGTGGAGGTTTGTATTTTGGTAGATTATACAACTTCAGCTTTGGGTCTGTGATCCAAGTCATGTTCTGCCCAGTTTATTTAGTGTTCTCAGTAACTCAAAGCCTGGGGACCAAGCTTTGCCTTCTCTTCTACAATCTTCTATAGTTTTTATGTTGACTTTCTCTGAAAAGTGCAGCAAAATTAATAATTTGGTATGTTTACCTCCTACAGTGGAGCTCATTTGGTTATTTAAGATACTTAGGATGATTTATTTAAAACTATACAAACCCTTGCCAAAATCTTAATGCTGGCCACCTGACCTGCTATCTGTATCCAGGAGGTGGGCTCTGGGATGATCATACCAGTGCCCATTAGATGGCAGCATTATATAGGTAGAAGAGAGAAGAATATGGCTTGTCTCAAGGGTTTTGACACACGGTGAGCCTTGGTGCTTTCAGAATTAAAATCAAGTTAATTTAAAATAATGCAACAATAAGGAAACCGATTACCGGTATAGAATACATCAATTCGGTTTTAAAAGTATACCATATCAATTTTGTTTAAAAGGATTCTGTTTGTGTTCTTGGTTTGCCAGTACCTTTGCCATATTATTAAAGGAAATAACTCTAACAAAGGCTTCTTGTTTTCTAGAAAATTTGTTTGCCTTAATGACAATATTGATCACAATCATAAGGATGCTCAGACAGTGAAAGCGGTGCTTAGGGATTTTTATGAGTCGATGTTTCCCATACCTTCCCAATTTGAACTGCCAAGAGAATATCGTAATCGTTTCCTTCACATGCATGAACTCCAAGAATGGTATGTTACACAGGTTCTCTTCAACTTATTGTAGTGCATGTCATTATAGAACATATTGCTACAAGTCATTTTTCCCCTAGTATTGTCATGAAGGAGTCAACAGTGAAACTAACGTGAAAATACTTGAATGGACTAAAATCTGTGGTTTGCAGGGATTGGGTGATCATAGTCATTAACATTTCATTGAGTGGCCCTAATCCACCTCAAAGAAAAATTGTTGGGTTTTTTATTTATTTAAAAGTAATTCAGGACTTTTGGCTTTTTAAAAATGTAAACCAACCCCACATTGTTTTGAATGCTTTTTGCGCAGGGACATTATCAACTGCTACATTTCTTATTAATGGATTCTTTTTTTAATCTGTCAGACAGCAGTAATCAGCTGGGTACTCATCAGAAAAGATACAGGTGTCTCATTCTTACATAATGCCTGAAAATTTTATGTGTGTTTACCTCTTGCCATTTTATAAATAATAACTTCAGAAATTGTGGTAGTTGATGTGAGATTACAAGCAAGAGGTTGGCAGGTTTGGTAACAAAAATGAATCAAGAAAACTAATTTTGTTGCTGATCAGCAAATTGAGAAATAGCTGTTAGTAAGGAAAGGGAAAATATGAGAGGATTGTAGGTGACAAGAATAGGTGAGGATTTGTAGTGCTACAAGCCCTGCTGTAACGCAGCAGAGGGAGTCGGGGTCAAACCCATTTCAGCTAGCTGTAGAAATTTGGGCTGGAGCAGTAGGCATATTGTTGTCTCCTGTTTTGAGGACATCTATCAAGATTTTGGTAGTTTCAGAAGAACACTTTATTTTGGCTTGTTTGTAGCCAAAGCAGGTTTCTACCACAGTGGGTTAAAACATGCTGAAATGCTGGTGGAAATCTATGTTTATCAAAATGTTTTACAGAATCATAGGACAGTCCAGGTTGCAAGGGACCTCAAAAGGTCATACGGCCCAACATTTCATGGGAAACTCAATTTATGTGAGATTATCTAGCACCCTGTTCAGTCACATCTTGAAAACCTCCAGTGGTGGGACTCTACCACATCCCCGGGGAGGTTGTTCCAGTCAGGGATTGTTCTCACTGTACAAAAATTTTCTTACATCAAGGTGAAACCTCTCCCAGTCCAACTTGCATCTGTTGCCTCGTGTCCTCTCCATGTGGCTCTTTGTGAAGAAGAGCCTGTGTCCTTTTCTAGTCACTCTTTACTGGAAAAACCTTTCTTTGCCTGTTTCATGGAGACTTTCTGAAGTTTATGTATTTGCATTTATAATACATGAAGCTGTTTCTCTGTTTCTTTCTTTGTGCAGGAGGGCATATAGAGACAAGCTCAAATTCTGGACTCACTGTGTTCTAGTAACACTTATTGTATTTACAGTGATCTCATTTTTTGCTGAACAGGTAAATTTAATGTCTTATTATCAAATCCATAGCACTTAATAGATTGTTACGTATCTAACGTAAGATGGACTTTTAAAAATTGGTTTTGAAGAGTAGGTAGGATTTGTCCTTCATAAAGGAAGTAAAGATGTTACATGACTGATTTGGTTGCTTCAATTTTTAAGTCTTCTTGTTGAGATTCCCCGAAAAAGAGTCATATTGGGGGAAGCAGAGTGGTCTTCAGGCACCTTGTTACTGTCGAGTCTGTAATCAGCTAAATGTGGATGCTCACAATCAGTAATTGTTTTTGAAATTCTTGGTCTATTAACACACATACTAGTAAAAGTGCAAAGTAAGTTAACAGGAAGAAAATCTAAGTAATAGCAATACTCTAGTCCTGAAGAGAATCCTAAGGTAATTAGAGGCTTTACCTAGATCTCATCCCTACATAAATTGCAAAGACTTCTACTGAATTGAAAAGGTTTTGAATCTGACTTGAAGGAAAAAAACCCTCCACTTCTGAAAGCATAAAACTACTTTCTTGAACATGATTAATCCTGCTAAACTTAGAGGGAGTCAATGGAACAAATCATATGGGTAATTCTTTGCAGGTTGGGGCCTTAAGTAACCCTTTCCGTGGTCTGATGAAGAGGGTGTAATTCTTGAAAGGTTGGCTTTTGATTATTATTTTTTTCCCGCCTGTGACTTTTGCATGAATCTTTCCCTTGATTTTCAGTCTTTTGTATAAATTTGAAAATTTGCCCTCAATTAGTAACTTGGTTTTGGAAGGGGGTACTTAACTCAGTAGTACAGCTAGGTGTATAAACACTGTTAAGATGACAGCTTTGTGTTGATCTTCTAGAAACTGAAGGTAGCCTGGCATTATGTTAATACATAAATGAACTTTAAAACAATCAGAATATAGGCATACTGTACGTTTTGTTTTCTGCTTCTACTCTAGTTATTGACAAGTCCTGTGGAAATGTGCACACCTAATCAATGAATTCGAGTAAATAACTTCCTGTGCTGTGAAAAAAAAATCCAAGAAGAACAATATTAACTTAATTACTATAGATGGTACAGATTTTATTGTTTCAAGGATGAAAGTCTGACCATCTGTGCACCTCTAGCCCAGCAGAGAACTAAATATTGTATTTTTTCTCTCTCCTCAGCTAATTGCACTTAAACGAAAGATTTTTCCAAGAAGAAGGATCCAAAAGGAAGTTGGTCATGAACGAATCAAAGTGTAGAAGAGCTTTATTTTGGAGATCAGTCTACCTCAAGACGTGCTAAGCATTTAAAATCTGTCTCATAAGTGTCTTTTATGGTTTAGCATTTAACTACATTGATATGAAGAAAAAAAAAATCATGCATCTCCAGTTAGAATCTCCGCAGTACTCTCCATGATATACAAGCTGCTGGAGCTGCAACAATGCAGGACAACAACAACAAAAATGCGGAAACCCTGTGCATAGGCAGTTTCCAACAGATCTTACTTTTACAGCTGTTAGTTCATGGCCATGTTATCCTTTTTTATAAAAAGGGTTACCTAAAGAAATGTAGCTGCATTTATTGCAGTGGATGTTGCCAACTAGATAAAATGTTGGAAGGCAGAGTTGTTTGGGATCAGCTTAACAGGTCCTTGATCTTGCATTCCAAAACATTTTGCAGATATCTGTCGTTGCTGCTTTTTTTTTTTTTTTTTAGCCCTACGGGAAAATTGAGAATTGTGTAACCTGTCATTTAGATTTAGTATACATTTATTGATGTTGACATTTGTTAAAGCACAGTGACAATTCATCCCCCTATTTGTATTATTTAATTGGGAAGAAATGTATGCTAATAAAAATACATAGTAAAAGAACTACTAATGGTTATTTGAAAGATACTTTATATGTAGTGTATTGTATTCCAAAGAATACAATGGTGTTATATCTTGATTACAAGAAAAGGGTTGTAATCAAATGAAAATTATGAAGGTATAGTATTTTACAAGCATTGTAAATATATAAGCAAAAGTGCCTCTCTCGATGAATGGGTTACAAACTGGTTTAATGTAGCAGTGTATGGAAGCAGTGTTTTGCTTCAGAAAACATGGTTTTTACTGACATTTGAAGCTTTGGTGTTTTGAAATTTAACAGGGTTTGGCCCTGTATTTTGCTGAGACATCAGAACAGTGTTTTTATGTGGGAAAGGATACTGAAGCTTTTCAAACAGGTTTTGGATGGTGTATCTTCAGTTAACTGTATTAGCAGTATTCAAAAAAGCATTAATTTTTGTAATCATCTGATGTACGATATGTGTCTGTACTGTAAGATACTTGGTTTGCTTTGAAATTAACTAAAATGTGATAAACGTTTTGTCTGTTTCTGTTCTGAAGTAAACCACAACTCACCCATTTTGATAAGGATTCATATTAATGGCTAATTTATGTTAAAAGGTGGTATTTTTCCCTTAAGCTTGTGACAGTAATGTTTTGCAGACTTTTTGTTGTCTGAATGAGGAATTAAAGTAGTTTCTATTTAAAAACTACAGAAAAAGGATAAAGCGAGGTGAGGGTTAAACTAGTTTAATGCTGAATGAGCGGGATGTGCACCTCCGTAGGTCGTACTGCGCATGCGCCCCTCCTCTTTGAGGTCTCTTCCCGCCTTTTTCTCGGGGGCGGGAGTTAGCGAGGTGGGACCGCGTCCTCTTATCCCTGTCTGTCGCTTTCCTGGGAAAGGCGGGGGAGGGGGGCGCGGACGGGGACGTGGGGGCTGCTGCGGGAGGCTGTGTTGCGACTGGGAGTGAGGGCTTCGGGACAGAGCGAAGCGGCGTTCCCTGTCTCCGGCGGGGGGCGTGAGGCGCTCTCTCCCTGCGGAGAGGCGGCTGTGGTGGTGGTGGGTGCCACACTGCCGTGGGAGGGGAGAAGAGAGAGCATCGCAGGGTGGAGGGAGAGGGATGAACGGTGGTTGGGCGGGAGTGGAGAACAGGGTTAGCACACCTCAGTGACCCTCAGCCTTCGACACCCCAGTGGTTTCCCCCTGAAAACCTGTTGCGGTGGTGGTGGGGTGCAGGCCTAAGTCTGCCTTGCTGCCCTGTGGTAGAAATAGCTGAGCCCCCACGGTGAAAAGCCCCGCAAAGGAGATTCACACAAATACTGGTTTATTTCAGGTCTTTTTGAGCAGGGTGAAGAGCGGAGATCGTTGTTAAATACACACCTGTGGAAGATACTAAAGCAGGTAGTTACATAGGATGAGGGGAGGCTCTGTGGGGCCGTGAGGTGGCAAGATTGGTTTTGCAGTGTCTGGAGGGACTAGGGAGTTCTGCTTTGTATACTGACTTCCAGTGCACAGACAGGTGCCTGTATGCTACCTAAAATACATGTAAATACCTGTTCATGCTTGACGTGAAAACTCTGAAGTGCCTTGTTTGGCAGCACAGAGACATGCACAGCCAGGTTCCGTAACATTACTTTCCTCCTGAAGTCAACAGCCATTGTAGTTGAAAAACATAATGAACCTGGAAAATTTTCTCACATCTGAGGATAATTTTAATGCAAGAGCGTTCGATTTTCCAATAAGTAATTTAAAGAGAGCTTTTTTTAAAAAAATCAACTTGTCTATAAATCTTTATGCTGTATAGAGGAGCATCAACCACAGAAAAAGCTGGGTATTAAAAAGCAGTGTTCCTTTCTTAGTAGCTTAGTGTGATCAGTTATATATCCATGTAATATGTGGTAAAAAAACCCCACATATTTTCAAGCTATGGATGACTAATTGAACAGAAATGGGAAACAGGTGTGTGACACAGCTGTTAAGGTGGGGGGACTTCACAGTCCTGGAAATTCAAAAGCTCGTTACTGGAGTTCTCAGTTTCAGTGCGTGAACTTAATTTTCAGATCACTCTCTGTTCAGTTTGGAAAAACAGGTTGAGCTGGTGGGTTTTATTGTTGGTTTTTGTTGGTGGCTTGGTTTTGTTTTGGGTTGGTTGGTTGGTTTGTTTTGGTTTTGTTTCCCCCTCCCTCCCCCCTGTATTCTTTCCATCTTACAAGTAATCCTGCTATTTTTTTAAGGACTTTTTTTAAAGTATGTGTCGTGTGACACTTGAGATGCTTCGTATCTCTTGATATCAAAGATAACGAGAAGAAATGTTTCAGCAAGGAGACTCAGTAGCTTGCTGTTTCCTGTTGTACTTATACATTATTTCTGTTATTGATAAAGTGCTAAGGAAAAAATGGTTCTGTCATTCACACATTTAATAATTGCAATTATGCTCTTATCCTTCTAAATAGATATTTTACTCCTTAAATACACAAATATAGAAAAATTTGTATTACTAATGATTTGTTTTTTAAGAGGGCAGTATATTTGTACAACATCTACAAATAGAGAAACTGCGTTAGTTACATTACAGAATGCAGAGGCATAGTTGCTAAAAATTATTTAAATTATCTTTAATTCAGAAAGTTTCCCAGGATTTTTTGAAGTGGCACATGTGTGTATATTGGTCTGTCTAGTGTGGGATGGCTTGTAGAATCAGATTGTTCTTTACAGTTTATCGTTTCTGTATTCTGTAAGATAGAATATTGGCATAGCTTTTTGGGAATGCGTTACTGGATATGACAAAATATGTAATAAACATAATGGAAGCCAAACAGGCAAGCACCTTAAGAAAGTGAATAATTAATTCCTTGGCTTTCAGCAGAATTATGTTCCTACTGGCCCAGGTATTTTTTTTGACCCTGTTTTTAGTACACCACTGGTGGGTAATCCTGTGGATTCACTCAAAAGTGAAACAGTTTGACTGCTTGAATATCCTAACAGATAGAGACTGTTGCAGGGGTGTCCATAACAGGTCAAAGTACACATGAATACATTTATCTTCAGAATATCGTGGGGAAAGGTTATGTAACAAATGCAATGTACGTTTCAGTAGGAAGAAAATCTCTATGGCACCATCGGGAAGAAAGCATGGAGGAAAAGCTGGTAAACCAGCCCAGGAAGATCATCCTATACCTGCCTATGACTTTGAGGAGGAAAGGAAAGAGCTCAGTGGATCCGAGGAAGATATTAGAGAAGGTGCTTATGTGATTTGGTTTCTTTTATTTTAAAGTGAGGTGTATAATACTTCTGACTATGAATAGAAGTGAAGACACTTCCATGTTAGCGAGTGTCTGAGTAAGCATGGTTCATAGTGTTTGTCACAGCTAGCCTCCCATTGCACAATTTTGATTGGCAAGAGAACACAGTAGAATAGCTCTGTATAATGCAGTCATGTATTACAATTATAGATGGAGTCTTTAATAGAGTAGGATTTTGTTGGATGATTTTATTACCTTATTCTAATGCTGCTGTACCTTTCCAGCACATGGCTGCATGTAATACTGTGAGATCAGGATAGATGAGAAGAGCTCTGCTTTCTTGTGTGGAGTGCTGAGTCGGGTAGGGTGGTTAGAGCCTTAATGCTGGCAGGGTTAGGAGTACTTCATGATGAATCTGAACCAAAGAAAAGAAGGGAAGAAGCAGAGAAAGCTGAGGAAAAGAGAGAAGTCAACTAAGAGATTCTTGTTTAATCTTGAGGGAGAGTCATAAAAAAATGGACTTTGCTTAAACATGCAGTTCTCATTCATCGCGATTGGTTTTTTTGTAAAGTTTAATGTAACTATTTCTGGATTTTTGTCTTTCAGCAGTTATTTCTGGGCTTGTTTCTCTTAATTTCTCTCCTTCATTTGTTCAGGCTAAATACCCCTCCCCACCCTTGTTAATAGAAATCTGACAGCCAAGGCTTTTTTTTTTTTTTTTGGTGAGAATATATATACCTATTTGTGATTTTGCTGTTTTAAAGGTCAGAGTACACAATTTATTTTACAGTAAAATGAAATTCTTAGAGGTGAGGCTTTCTGATGGTTGTTATATTGTGAGTAATTGTATAGTAGTGCACAGAGAAGCTAAAGCTGGTTGAGACCAGTCTAGAGGAACTCAAGCCAGCTCTAGTCTAGCCTTGCAGAGTAACTCACCACCATCTGCCAGCTCCAGATTCAGAGTTTTAGGAGCCGCATGTGTTATCAATGGGAAATGAAACCTGTGAAACATGTTCAGAGAAGTGGCATTACAGAACAGTAATTACACTTTCTAATAATTCGAATCACCTCCACAAGATTTTTGTAAATCTTTTTGAAATTTCTATTAAGGTGAAACACCGGTAATGGACAAGCATGGAAAGAAAAGGTCTTTAGTGAATACTCACGTGGTTCCAGATGATGTGGGGTAAGGTTAGATTTTTTTTTTTCGTCCCGCCCAAAATAAGCAAGTCTTGAATAGGTACTGCTTTCAGTTACTCATTATGCTTGTTTTGCTTGGGTTGGGTTTTTTTTAGTATTTGATTCAAAAATCAGGTGACAGGTAATAGTTGTAGGTAAAAAGAAAAAAGGTAACATTGAAAAAAGTAATTCTGCAGTTTCCTTGTAGATACTTTTGAACATCCATAAAAAATAGATATATTTGTGTGAATTCTTAAAATTGTTTCTTTCAAAAGATGATTTAAGTTTTATCCTAAATTGTTGATGTTTTCATTAATTTTTTTCCCCTCTGATCTTAGTTGCTTGAAGATACTAACAGTACTTTAAAAGATCCAACTCTTGCATGAAAACTAAATTCTTTTTACAAATCTTATGAAACTCAGTATTTATGGAAAATGTAAATGTAATAAAAAAAGTGTATGTTGACATAGCTTTTAGCAAGATTTCAGCTGTTGCCTTGAAAACACTTCCCCTCCCGCCCCCTTTTTTTTTTTTAACGCTTCGAAAAAGAAAGTGTATCTTGTGGAGAAGGTGATCTAAAGCAAGATAAACACTTTCTTTACCCATCATGTCTCTTTTTGGACTTGTCAGCTGTTGTATCACTGCCGTACACACTGGTAAAAGCGTTGTAAAAGCAACCCTGTTCTCATTTGGATTTTTCTTACTGAGTCATGTAAACTGTGAAGGACTTGTTTTCATTTGATGTTCCAAATACCTTCTGTTTTCTTTTTGTGTAAGGAATGATCAATTTTATCTACTGACCTTACTCAGGACCCTTTAAATGCCTCATATACAGCCTTTTTGCTGGGGAATAAGTTAATAGATACTAGTAAATTTTTAAAAACACGGCAAATCAGTCTAAAAGGGAGATCTCTTGAAGAAGGAGAAAAGGAGTGTAATTTTTTTTATCTTGTAGAACAGTAGCAGCTCTGTCACTGCTTACAAGTAAAAGGCACATGAATAAAATTAGTTTTAAGTATATACAACAGGTCTTATTCTAAAGTCAGAAAATGGGCAAATAAAAATTTTGAGCACTATTTTGTAGGGGTGAAGTACAGAATATGCTGGAAAGATTTGGAGGTAAGTTTACTTACATTATAATAAATTATAAAACAATTCATTTTTAAGTTGCAGCATTGACAGTGATTCCTTACCATAAAATAACTTTCAAGATTTACATTAAATGACCAGTCTTTGTCAATTTTCAGAAAAACGTTATATCTGAGTAAAAAGAAAGAAGAAAATGGAATAACTGCATAAAAAGTGAGATGTATTAGTATAGGTAATGACAAAGGAAAAAGGGAAAGATGCATGAGTGCTTTTGATTATCAATTCCAATTTTAAGATGAGGTGTAAGCAGTAGTCATAGTGGAGAGAAAAGGGACAAAGTGAGTTAGCTTTTCTTAATTTTTTGTTACACTGAGGTAGAAGAGACTGGGAATGGCAAGACTTGAGTGAGAAATTAAGGGCATGTAAATATTAATATAAGCAGTTACATAGAACAAATCTTTCTAGACAAGGTATTTTGGAAGTATAATTGTTGTTGCAATACAGAACAAACTAGAGTAGCCTGTACTCTGCACAAAGATGTGAGATCAGGGAATTAGTAGAAAAGAGAATTTCAGCAGCCAGGAAGAAGAATACAATGCTTCTAGAAGAGCTAGAAAGAGCTTTCCTTCTCTAGGAGGAAGGTAAGTAAAGCCAGTCATCTAGTGATGAGAGATTTATGTGTATCACCTAGCTGGGTTTAGTTTAGTCGTAACCAGTTTCTGAGATAGCTTTGCTATTTCCACTGAATTCTACATAGCTAGAGAGAAAAATCACATTTAACGTGAAGTTTTAGGGTTAGGGTTATTGCAGATCTAGCAGTCTAGGTAGGAGGAGGATTTCAGAGTCAAAAAGCTAGGATTGCTTGTTATGGAAGACTCAAAAATAGGCTAGAAGAAAGGAAATGAACGGATGAGAGAGAGGATGCTGTCTGCAGGAGCAGATGTCTCAGAGAGAGGTTTACAGATGTTTCCTGAAACCTACAGTGAGAAGGAAAAGGAATTGCTGTATTAACCTTAAGCTGGGACTTGTTAGATCTCCAAATGTAAATTAAACAAACATACTCACTTATATTAACTTGAATATATTTTAAAAAGTAAGAAGTCTCTCAAGTATGAAATAGTTTGTCGTTCAGTCATTCTGCATGTTCACAGTGATAGTAATCACATATGACCTTTAATTTATTTCTGAAATTTAAGTAATTTGAATATTACTTTGAAACGTGTGTGGTTTAAATAGTGTCAGCCTAACTCCATTCCTTGAAGGTCTAGAAACTCTGAGCTGGCACTGCAGTCATGCAGCTGAAATAATAAGGATTTTGATGGTGTGACTGCAACCTCATTAGATATTACAGAAAAGAGCAAGATGTCTGTGCTCAGTCAGGTTTGTGCAAGGTATGAATCGAGAATGCACAAACACTGAGGTGTCCAAATACAGCGTTTGAGGATGTGCAGTGCAATCTGATTGCACAGTGCTGTGAGCTTTTCAAGCATATATGTGTGCTTACTGTATGGATGTTATGTTAGGAGTACATGTTGGACCCTAACAATCAGTGCGGGCAACGCACGATGACAGCATGTAAGGAACTGATTTAAATGTACATAACAGAAGCGCTGCAGCTACCCTGACTTCAAACTGCTTGATGTTTTCCCTCCACTGTGTGTCTGCTCAGAGCCAGTTGGACACTGTACCCACTACTGTCCAGCCTGGAATGAAAGAAGCTAAAGCTGAGTCACATCACAGTGGGTCCTACTTGGTCTGCCCCCTGAGAGAGGTGGGACTTGAAGCAGATCCTGGAGTAGTTAGTGGGGCTGGGCAGTGAGTAGCTGCAACTCCAGAGGCTGGGTGTTGGTTAGGGTGTGTGGGGGCCTTCGGGAAGCAGCACTCACACCAGGGCCAACTGGGGTGTACGGACACTCAACACAGCAGCCAGGAGTCCAGCTCACATTAGCTTCTTTCCACTACAACACACCTTGTTCACTTCTCCAAAGCGTAACTCATCAGCGTTTTTAATAATAGGCACAAGGTATCTTGGTATGCTTAATTTCTGAATGTTCTTTGATTTTTAGCTGATATTAACAAGGCGCTCTTAGCTAAGAGGAAAAGATTAGAAATGTATACGAAAGCCTCACTCAAAACCAGTAACCAGAAGATTGAGCATGTTTGGAAAACGCAGCAGGAGCAAAGGTAACATCTACCCTTGTTTTTCAAACCTGTGAAATCAAATTCCCTTTTCTGTCACAGCATGAATACTTGATCCTTCTTGCAGTTAAACACCAAGTAGTGTATCTCCTTATTAAATACCAGCTCAGGTCCTGCCTTTCTACTGCCTCCGGCTGTGTCCACCTGGTTAAACTGATAGTTATGGTTTAGCCTAGTGCTTTCTCTTCTGAATGGAGAAACTCAGGATTTGGAATTTTGAGGACAAGGTACCTTATAGAACTGGTTTTACTTGTTTGTCTTTGAAAACACTGTTCTTATTTTTTCCACTTCAGTTGGAATTTTCTGTTTTTACTTGAAAACTGAAAAATATTCAATAAATTTTTTGTACCATTCTGGGTAAGAAAGAAAATAATTTTCATTTGCACACTGTAAATAACTTTCCCCCTACATACCTCTTTCCTCTTAAGGCATGTTTAATTACTACATCTCATGCTACAGGTAGAGCAAAGTAGAAAATGAGACAGCTAAAAACTGAATGTCAGCAATACTTGGAACTGTCTTGGTGTTTTTACATATATATTTGAAACTTGTACTGACAAAATATGTCTGCATAGAGAAACTACAGCATAATGAACTAACGGAAGAGGTAGTCGGTTTTTCATTATAAACCCCTTGTGTTAAAGCCAAGATCTGTAATTTGGTTAGAAAAAAATAGTATATCTCAGAAAACCTGATTCTATTAGAAAGAAAAGTTGTAATTTTTTTTTAACCTCAGCTGTGTACGAGTGCTGTCTCGTCGTCTCCTCCTGTATATAATCCACATTCACTCAGCAGGTATGCGTGTACATATGTGTGTTCAGTTTTTCAAAACATACCGTATTTAGTTAGGGCCAGATGTCCAAACAGCCTGTTTCTTTTACCTGTGCCAGCTCCTTTTATTCTACTTCATGTGTGTGTTGAACCTTGGATTTCCTTGTAGTTCTTCACAGCATTTGTCATACAGCTAGTGTCTGTCTGTTTATAGGCAGAAGCTCAATCATGAGTTCTCCCAACAGTTCCTGACTTTATTTCAGCAATGGGATGTAGATGTGCAGAAAGCAGAGGAGCAGGAAGAAAAACTAGTGGTGGGTTTCCAGCATGACGTGAGTTTCAGTGTATTTTCACAAGGAGGGAATATTGTTCTTTAGATACTCAAGAAATGTAAAAACATTTTATGTGAACAAACATATGATTGTTTGCCTCTTGATTAAAACAATTCATTCAAGTTTGGTGGTTCTCAAACTGAAAATTTTGATGTATTTGGATATATTTTACAGTGAAGAAGGGTGCGCTTATCAACTTTATGGCAAGTTATAAATGGCAATGAGTGATGCTCTAGGCCAGCATACGGCTGGAGAAAAGCCAAGACCATTTATGAAGAAAGACGTGTACTCTTTCTGTGCATCCATAGTCTGGGTTCAGGGAACAAAGGAGTCAAGGAAAATAGTCGTCTTCTAGCATGCATTGCTTTAAAATACACCTGTATATAGTTAATGTATGAGGGTTTGATCACTGGAGAGGACAGGAGCTATAAAATGGAATGCAATCACATCATGTCGCAGTAATTGTATTCCCAACACATTTGTCAGTTTTGCCTTTCTCTAGGCAGCACGCTCCCCTGAGATATCCTCAAGAACTGCGTTGGGATAGCAATCCTTGTGAGATCTCATAGGGATGATGCAGGTTGGAAGGGACCTCAGGAGGTGGCTCCAGGCTTAATCCAGCCGTCAGTCTTTCTATCATTAATAAGCAGAAGGATAACTCCCCAGGCGGGCACCTACATTGCACGGCCCAGATTTCCACTGAAGGCAGAATTTCCCATCCTGATAAATGACATTAGAGTTGCTGTCCAAGCACTTTTAGTTGAGTAATGCGATTATTTTTGTTCTCTTCCTTCTGCTTCAGAATATGTTTCGTCAGCAACAAAAAGTTTTTCAACAGGCAAGAATAGTTCAAAGTCAGAGACTGAAAACCATTAAGCAACTCTATGAACAATTCTTAAAGGTACAGTAAACTTTCTTCTTAGAAGGCAGCTGATCCTTATCACTTAAGAAAACTGGATTAATTCAGCCTTTATGAAATAGAGATTTAAAGTTCTTCTCATGAAAATGTCTTGTGTGAATATTCATATTAGTATCTTTCCTTATTTGTTAAGAACATGGCTAGTCCTCTCTACATGCATACACAGTGTATCTGTTGAATGAACTATTTAGATAAATGTGGTCTCACAGGGATCTGGTTGGCTCATCTGCTTCAAATATTTAACCATGAGCCTCCAAGCATACTTTGTACCAGTTTAAAGGTTATATAGGTCAGTTAAATCTTTGGGATTTTGTCTTAATTATTCCCTTCGATTTTTTTGCCTGTATTTAAAATAGTGAAACTTTACAAGCTGTTAAATATACATCTTGGGCTGTGATTTACTGCTTTTATTAGTACTGGCAGGTGCATCCCCCATAATGAGAATTAGACACCAATTTTTTTTCTGTCATTAAACTTTCTAGCTATTGCTGTTTCATGTAAGGAAAGTGACCCTTAAAGAAAACCAATTGTAATTCCCTCAAAATTGCCCAGTTAGAACTCCCCTCATCTCCCCCTAAGCAACATTCATGAGAAAGGGCTTTCCTTTCTGTCACGTGGTATTCAAGGTAAGCATTCACTAAAATGTCAGAAGGAAGAATCTGATGGAAACAATGATTTATGGTGAAAACAGGCCCAGCTGGATGGTTACACAATCAGTCCCGTTTAACTTTCCTGTTGCTTTACGCATAATTTTTGTATTTGCTGGGAGTCCCTACAAACACCTTGTTTTGGATAGTGCCTGTAACATATTTTGAATACAATTCATATTCATCAACTGTGGTGTGTTTTGATTTTTTTTTTTTAACAAAGTAGCTAACATACGAGACAGCAAAAAAAAGCTTGAGTACAACTACACAAAAAATTGACTTTCTGGTAAAAAAAAAAAAAACTTTTCCCTGTTATTTTACTCTAAGAACAAAACACACTGTTCCCAGAATTTCCTTCCCCCACTGTTTTTCTAAGTAAGGTATTAGAAATCTAAACTGCAAGAAAGATGGAAGTACCCTGAATGATAGGTTTGTAACGAATGCAGAGGCATGGTAGCATGGAGAGGCGGAAGTGTTGAGGTTGGAAGGGGCCCTGGAGGCTGGCTGGTCTGGCCAGCAGGGAGTATGGCAGGGCTACCTACGGTGAGGTGCCAGGGACTTACATCCAGGTGCCTTTTGAGTTTCCCCATCAATGGGACTCCACAGCCTCTCTGGGCAGCCTGTTCCAGTGCTTGGTCACCCTCGCAGTAAAAATGTGTTTCCTGATGTTGTGTTTCTCTTTGTGCCCATTGCCTCTGCCCCTGTCACTGGGGACCCCAAGAGCCTGGCTCCATCTTCTTTGCACCCACCCTTGAGGTATTTAAGTGAGGTGAGAATCCCCCAAGCCTTCCCTAGGCTAAACAGTCCCAACTCTCTCAGGCTTTCCTCCTAAGGGAAACGCTCCTGTCCCTCAGTCATTTCCTGGCCCTTTGTTGGCCTCTATCCAGTATGTCCATGTCTCTCTTGTACTGACAAGTCTGGAACTGGAACACTCCAGGTGTGGTCTCTCCAGTTCTGAGTGGAAAGATCATCTCCCTCCACCTGCTGCAGCACTTCTCCTAATGCAGCCTAGAAGACCGCTGGCTGCCTTTGCTGCAAGGCACTATGTTAGCTCATGAATTGGGCTTGTTCAGCCTGGAGAAGAGGAGGCTCCGAGGAGACCTCATTGCAGCTTTCCAGTATCTGAAGGGGGCCTACAAGGGTGCTGGGAGAGGACTTTTTACAAGAGCCTGTAGTTATAGGACAAGGGGGGATGGGTATAAATTGAAATCAGGGAGGTTTAGATTAGATGTCAGGAAGAAATTCTTCACAGAGAGGGTAGTGAGGCACTGGAACAGGTTGCCCAGAGATGTTGTGGATGCCCCATCCCTGGATGTCTTCAAGGCCAGGCCGGATGTGGCTTTGAGCAACCTGGTCTAGTGCAAGGTGTCCCTGTCCATGGCAGGGGGGTTGGAACTAGATGCTCTTTAAGGTCCCTTCCAACCCAAACCATTCTATGATTCTATGTGCACCTTGGGGCCCACCAGGACCCCCAGGTCCTTTTCTGACAAGCTGCTTTCCAGCTGTGTGGCCCCCAGTATATACTGTTACATGGGGCAGATTCAAGTCTAAAAACCTTATTTTTTGTTAGAGTCATTTCCTAACTGGTCTCTTTTTGAAATTTCAGTTAATTATGATGTGTTGGGGTTTGTTTAAGTCTGGTAGCTTCAAAAAATAAACCTGAAATAGAGCAGCGCTTAGTTTACAATCGTCAAAATTTACAGAGGATGTTACAAAAGCATTAATAAATAACTGTTCCAAAATGTCAAGCATGTCTTCTTCAAAGATATATGAACAGAAGGTTAAGCATTACTTTGAGTTTTCTTCTTAAGCAAGAGCAAAAGGTAGAAATCAAGCCTCAAATAAGCTTAACTAAATAGAGGTCACGAAAAATCCAAGTACCCACCTACAAGAGAGTTAGACATAATTGTATGTACAAAAGGGAAAACAGACAGCGAGCTGTACTTGGCTTATGTGGGGAGAAGTGTGCGAAGAGAAGGAAATTTAATGGCTTTTATAGTCTTCAAGAAGTCTCCAAGGTTGTCATAATGTCAAGTCCCTGTCATTCCTGACAGGTTTATATTTCATCTTCTCTTGTAGAACTATGTTCGTTGAAATGCAGGGTAACTACCTGAGACCTCACAGATGCTGAGTGGAGGGGACCGTGTCCTTCACAGGGTCTACATTGTTTTACAGGGTCCATACCGTCCATAAGCAGGAAGGAGTACTAAGTCCCTTATGATCTCTCTGTCAAGTCTGTGACAAAACTCATCAATTATCAGTGACCACTGCTACTGTAAAAATGAAATTGTAGTCTGTCTGTTTGGTTGGTTTAAATTAACCCTTTGATGCTGAGCAGTTCTGAATTAAGATTATGCTTAACTTCAGAGCATGGAAGAGCTGGAAAAGAACAATGAAAACCTTCTAGCTGGCGCACAAAGTGAGCTTCGCAAAGAAATGGCTATGTTGCAGAAGAAAATTATGATGGACACCGTAAGTATCAGCTCTGTGAAGTCAGTTAAATGCAAAAATAGGACATGCTCTAAAAAAAGTCATTTTACATTCATTTAATTAGCTCAAAGGAATCATTTTGATACAGTGTTTGTTCAGTATTATCTCCTTTCCTTGTAACAGCAACAGCAGGAGATGGCAACTGTTCGCAAGTCTCTTCAGTCCATGTTATTCTGATGGCTCAATGGAGAAACAACTTGTACCTAAGTAACATGATACAAGTATAGGCATTAGCCATAGCCATAGTATGTTAAGATCTAAATGTTTTAAAGTTCCTATGAAATGCTTTCATGGATTGCTCTAATCTTGTTTGCTATGTTGTACGAATGTACATTAGTAAATCTATTACTTGGCGGGGGGGGAGCAGGAAGAGTATGGACCCCAAATCATTTACTGTCTACACAATTAATCTTTAACTACTTAATACTCACTTTCATTAGCATGGAACTGTTTAAACTGTTTCACTTTTTACAATGCCAAATTGTAACAATGGGCAGAATTAATGAAAAATGTATTACCTAGATTTTACATAACTTTACGCCTTTAGGTCCACTGTGCACCCAGAAGCAGTTTTCACAAGCTGCAAACTTGTGAGATTTTCATAGTTTCAACACTTAGTCTGCTGACGTACCAGCAGTTACAAAAGTTCAAAGTATGACATGGCTCATGTAAGACTGTTTAATGTTGTGTATTATGGTAAATTAAAGTAAATTTTATTAACTCTTTTGCTATGCACTGTAGTATCTTTGTACTAAAAAAAGATATATGAACTACTGTAATTTTGTCCCAAAAGCAGGTTTCTTCACTGGAATGATAAGCTGAGTATCACAGCTTTATACGACATCTGCTCAAGTAAGCATAATTAAACATTATGCATTTTGGGGAACATAGTTCTTGTAGAAACACTGCTAGAAGTAATCTAGCTCATTTATTTAGTACAAGTTATTACAAGCTTTTGAGATGGAATATTACTTCTTGCAATTCCGAATGACTAGCAATTTAGGGAGGCCTAGGTTTTAAGGATAAAGCATTTATCTTTCATGTATCTCATTACAGTAAATCAGTATAAATTCAACAATCGGCTTAGCTTGCATGCAGTTTGTTTTACAGAAAACCATTATGCCTGAATATCCAGTTTTACAAATTAGGTAGTTCCTAATATATTTTGTGCTTAGATTTAGTACAACAGATCAACTAAAAACCATCCACACACCCACAAATGTGATGTTTTCATAACAGTGTATTTCAAAACCAGTCCAAACAGATTCTTCTCTTCAGCTTACTAGTATTCTGAGCTCAGAATCAAGCAATTTGACGATGGTTCTCCAGTTCTGAGAGCCAGATTAGGGTCAGCTAATTCACAGAAACTTCAGCTGATAGGTTGCAACTGGAGTTGAACAAGCAACCCCTAGGGAGCTCATTTTGTTCTGCATCGGCTATGACTCCAGGAAGGAGCAAGCACAGAAGGTACGTTGCTAGAATGAGGCACGTGGGCCCCTGGTGGGTGACAGGGAACTATGCTCATCATCGGGTAACTGCTGCTGAGTCTCAACCCTCTGAGGATGATAAGATGATGCTATAACAGTTAACAACAGCTTAGCAGTTTTTGCTTCCTATCTTCAGTTCTTGGTTATTTGTTAGTATTGCCTCATGTTTCTGGTTTTGTGACCAATTTCTGCATTAGTTTCCTATCATCCACATACCCCAATCATGTACTTTTAAAAGTACTTCTACCTACTAGTATGTGACACATTTTTGAGCATACCGAGGAACCAAACCTTCTCACTCTAACAAAACCTGCCTCTGTCTTTCCATCAGGTGGTTAATTTGTTTACAGTATTCAGGCAAACTGAAATGGTCTTCACCATCTTCTATTTGCCCATGCCCTGGGTCCAGGCCAAGTTCATGTGTAGATGCTGTGTCTTTTCCAGCCTCCAACAGGAGGGGTAGGGTTCATTTGGAATTGCTATTAGTCACTTAGAGTGCTGGTCCTTTGGCAGCAACTGTTAAGTTATCCCTCATGTGTATTAGTATATCCTTCTTAAGCAGGAGTGTGGTCAATGGCATTTTATCCCCCCCAGATTTAGCAGACAACACACCGCATAACTTCCTTGAGCACCTCAGGAAGTCTTTTTGCATTAATGTACAGCTGGGAAGCTGCAGTGGCCATTTTTAAAACAAACCATAGCATTCTTTATTGTACAGTTCAGGAAGGACTTTATAAATTCACAGCTCAGCTACACATCAGCAACTGAAATCGGTAGCAGACACTTACATTCAACAGCTTTTTACAAAATCCATACTCGATTAGTACCTCTTTAAAGGAGCTCAAGCTTACAGGGTCTGTGTACAAGTCATGATTTGCTCGCAGAGAGGATTCAGCTTTTCTTTGATGTTCCTAGCTGCTGTCGTCACTACTGTCAGCTGCCGCCTTTAGGAAAAGCCCCACTGGCTAACAGTGGGCCTGACTTTCTGTTTTGGGGAGTTTTACCACACATTAGGGTTTAGTTCTGTGCAGTTTTGTCTGGATGAAGTACAGTGGTAGTTACAAGACAAATCAGACAGACTGTAAGGCAGATGAACACAAGGAGGGCAAACATACTTCATTACATATGAGTGGGTTGCATTGTCACAAACCGTCACAGTCATTGTGAACTTTGTCACAGTGAACTTTGTCATTCACTTGTAGCTTCACAGATACAAGTTAGGTAAAGTTAGTGTCCTCAAAGTATGCAACTACCTCTAGTCTGGATAATGATGGAGAACAATGAGGCAAACCTTGTTATGACCACAAAACCAAAAACTAGCCTTGGAAGAAAATGCAAGCTACAAATGTATGCAGTAACAGTAGGTTATGTACTAGAGAACATGTGAATCCTAAAGGCACTCATAAGAGTATTCTGAAATAAAATTTTCCTGAGCTATACCTCCTTCATCCTACTGATGTAGTAGCACGTTCTTTAGGAGTATCAGAATAGAGACTAATAAGTAGTTTAACCTCATGGCCTTAATAATGCAGTACTTGTATTCATTGATACCTCTGAGTACCACTTCACAGCAGCTGCAAGAAGACTTCTGAAACTAAGTAAAGAGGATTAGTCACCTGGGCTAAGGAAAAGTGAAATTCCTGTTTGAATTCTGGTTGGTAGCACCTCAGTTTGTAGTCTACATTCACCAGAGCAGAGCACAGAATTCAGGTTACCTTACAGGAAATGGCAAAAGTTTCAAATGTGGTATTCATGGTATGAGATAGCAGCTGCAATGTCTAAAATCTGCAGGGCTTTGTAGTTGGTAATTCTGACCTCTGGTAATGCCTGGGATAGCATGAGCTTTCTCACAGAACTCTTCTTGAAAAGCTTAATCTGTCTTCCCTGAAAAAACAGAGGCTGTTTCATTCAACATCCCCTAACTGCTTCATCTCTTGTCCTCGACCTATTTAATCAGTCACAGTTTTGAACCTGTTCAGGAGCTTGATGAGATGAAATTCTGAAGACATGTATATGAAGATGAGCAGCGATCTGTAGGCACACACCAGTGGCATATCTCAGCATATCAAACAAGGATATGAACTTCAAAAGAACAAAACAGAGCAGGTTAAAAAAAAATCAAGTATTTTTAAGAGTTGTCTCTACTATAAATCCAGCTATACTTTAATCAACATCTACCCAAGGATAAGCTTAACAAGCATTTGAACATACAGAGTGGTCTAGTTTAGAAAAACAACAACCCCAAACCCAAAAAACAAAGAGCACAAAACACTTAGAGTCTGATAAACAAAGGTTAGTCCGCAGAATAACTTTAAACAAACCACCTGGACTAAAGCGTAATTACAAGAGAGCTGTAAATTTACTCAGCTCCCTAAACACCTGTTTACACGTGTCCCAGCATTCCCTCTGCAGAGACAGCTGAAATCTGAGCCAGTCAGGAATGGCAGAGCAGAATGACAGGGACGGCTCTCAATCCACCCCTTAAGTATGCTCCAAAGGAAAAGTATAAACCAAAATCCTTACCAGTGCTATCCACAGAACAATATATTCATCAACGACACTGTTGAAGTACTGGTCCAAAAAGAGAAGTCCTGGCCCAATAAAGGCAGTGTCCTGAAGACAGATCTCACTTTTTGTCATGTGAGCCACCTATGGTAAAAAAAAAAAACAAACAAACCAACAACAACAACAACAAAAAAGCAGCAAAAATGCATCACTGCAAGATGAGTGTAACTGCCAGAAAAGTGGCATGACATCCCTGCCCTGCAACAAGCCAGCAACTAAGCACCACCCAGCCGCTCACTTACCTACCCCACCCCTGTGGGACAGGGGAGAGTGTCGGAGGAAGAGGTAAGAAAACTCATGGGTTGAGATAAGAACAGGTTAATAAGTGAAAAGAAATTAAATAAAGGAATGAGACTAACACTATTAAGAATATGTAATGAAAATACTAATGATAATAATATGTAATGAAAAGGAAAACAACGATAGGGAAAAAACAAACAAGCAAAAACAGCATCATACAACTGTTCACTACCCACTAACACCCAGCCAGTCACCAAGCAGCAAAAGCGTGAATCATAGAATCATAGACACACTCTTGGCTCACTTCCCCCAAGTTATAGACTGAGCATGATGTTTTCTGGCATGGAATGTCCCTTTGGTCAGTTGGGGTCAGCTGTCCTGGCAGTGACTCCTCGCAGCGAACAACACAGGGGCGGTATGAGAAACTGGAAACGCCCTTGTCTTAAAGCAAACATTGCTTGGCAACAACTAAAACCAGTGTGTTGTCAACATTCTTCTCAGCACAAATCCAACACACAGCCTCACAGTAGCTACTGTCAAGAAAACTACTTCTATCCCAACCAAAGCCAGCACAACAGCACTTCTATCCGTGTTAATGCTATGTCCGTTGCCAGGTGGTATTTGCTTACTTCTGCAAGAAATGTGTACATGCCCTTCAGTTCTTCTGCCAGTTACCCCTGTACCAGTGCATCTTAGCTATCTGCAGGGGTTCCCTGCTCTATTTTTTCAGTGCTGTATTTGAAGGGTAAGACTACACAAGTGTCTGACTGAAAACAAATACTCTTCACCTGAAATGTTGTTTTCAAGTCTAACCTGAAAATTTTGGCTTTACTTAGCCAAAAGCTAACTAGAAACTAGGCTTTGGCATTGGTGACAAGACCTGTTTTCCCCGTTTAGTAAAAACAGTGATCCATGCACAGAGATGCTTTACAGAATGGCCAAGAGAAGAAGATTACTGGGGGTGCAGGGAGGGAATCTGTTCCCCCCACCACACCCTGACTCTTCCATATTTGGCATCCTTAGGGACAAC